AGGTGAAAAGGAATGAATCTCGAATAGGGACAGAGTGGGAAAAAAGGGCTGGAACATGGCTCTCAATAACAGGAACAGGCGGTGAAGGCCCATGGGGATCTAAAAAAGACACGGAAATAGTGGCCGAGGATAAGCAACGCCGTCCCCGAAGCTATCGGGGATCTGCCCGCCCAGGAACCAGCCAAACGGCTGCCCGGGGCCATGTACTGTACCTGAAATCTGGGCAGCTGGTTCCTGTTTTTGATGCACATGGCATTTTAGAAGTTATCGATCGCTAGCGGGTCAGCCTTTGCAAAGCGTGTGTGTGGGGGGTGGAGTATTGGTACATCGTGAGCGGGATTTGATAGTCGAGTTTCTTGATACCAGATACCTAGCCGTTTTTATTACTGTTCACATCTTTTCTTTGGCTCCCTCCACGCAGATATGCCGTGTTATCTGGTTGATGACCACCTCTTTGGGCAATCTTCCATTGTAGAAAAGATCATGATCACTTCGGTATATAACCGGTGCCAATCAAGGCCATGGATCCTCCTTTTGAGCGGCATGAAGCTGTCATATCCTCAAGCGCACAGACACACACCCATCTGCGCTGGTCTGATGTGCAACGACCATAGCTTCTTTTTTCTTTTTGGTGGCTTGAACTAGCGGCGGCTCTTCACGTAGGCGAGTCGGCGGTCGGTTGATTACTGTCATGTACCTAACTCTCCTCACTTATAATTCATGTACCTCCCTATGATGGCCATCGGGATGACGAGCATTGCTCTCTTGACTCAAGAAATGCGTACCAAAAGCTGACCTACAGTACGCTGCTGTAAGACCGAGAGGTAAATATAGTGGATTGTGTCTCACAGTCTCTAATGGCGGCGGCTCTGCTGTTTCAAGCGCTTTTATATCCACGCAAGCCTTTTTCCTCTGTACTGGCCTGCAAGGCGTACAGCACCTGTCGGTATTTTCTCGATATCACAAAAAGAAAGATCACAAACAAAAACTATCTGGGCGCTGCAGGACCCTGCAACTAGATTCTACTGAGCCAACCTCTTACAAGTGATCGTATTCCCAATATAAACCACACCCGCGCAATGGGGAATTGACGTATGGCAGACTCTGGTATGTGCACGCGGTCCGTCCCTCGGGATGGTGGTTCTTTGGGTCTGTACCCGTAACGACTCCGTAATGGAGACTGGACCTTTTTTGAGGTAAATAACGACCGGCGACGAAAATCTTCCGATAGCAGGTCAGTGCGAAGCTACGATCAGTTCTTGTTGTAGAGTTGATAGGACACATGATGATGGACCATTGATCCGCTATCGATCGCTATCTGTCGATCGTGCACAGAGCCGTCTTCTTCTTTTTTTGATGTGCCCGAACTATCGGGCCGCTCTCACCTGAGAGTTCAGATAGTAGCAACTCTTGATGGGAATAATTCAAAGCCTTGGACCAATTGATCCGTTCGAATCACGATCGTCACCTTGACCTTTTGGGCAACGCACAGAGAGTACTATCGTATTCTGAACAAGATATCGCTGCAAGTGCCTGGGCTGAAGTAATAAGCGCATTACTCAGACAAGGTCCTCGCAAGCCACGCGGAGGATTTAGTCTAGGGAGTAACCCCGCGATGCTGTACTGTATGTAGTACGGAATAGGGTGCATTGCATACACGCGCAAGTCGGCCACTTTGCACGTCCGCATTGCATCTATGTACTCACTTAAGCTTTTCAAGTTCTCGAAGCAGGCGACATGAAGCACATTTCGTGGAACCTGTGGGGGCTGTTGGTTTCAACAAGATGTAAGGACTTTGTGTTTGTTTATCTTGCGATTGACCGAGCATTGATGCTCAAAGCCGACTATACTGTATCATTCTTTTCACCGAAGGCCAAGTCGTTTTGCGGACCCAATTGAAATGGTCCACGAAGTTCGGCGGCCGTCTCAGAAGCTGCGAGGCTTTTCGGGGCGTTGATATGCGTCACAATCGAGCCAGTCCCCGCCAGCGACGGCTTGGAAGGATGCCGCTGCTGCTCCTCCTGTTGCAGAAGAACAGCGGTGAAATTTGCCGACGTGATATTTGACAGTGGAAAAGCCAAAGCCCATTGAGAGGAATGGGGCCAAGAAGCCATCATCGGAATTTACTAATCCCAATCAAGTGATGTTTGAGACCCCTCAAAATGATGGTACCTGAGCTAGGTTTGGGTCATGAGGCCCAAAATCCAATCCTCAGCGTTGAGCTACCACACGGAGGAATTACTTTTCTTTCTCTACTAGAATCACGATCAGCCAGCTGCGTGCATCTCGAGTGACCAATGATGGTAGTAATGACGGCAGCGAGGCTGGGCTGTGCTTAGTATCTGTTTACTACGTTTCATGTATCACGTAGGAATCGTGTTTTTGAGGTAATGCAGCAGTAGCTGATGCACGACATGTCGCTTATAGAATTGACTTTGGCAAAAAAAAGGGCTGCAGAAGAAGACACCCGATTCTTCTTGTGTGACTGGCTGGTCATCCTCCACCATGTCGGCCTAGATCCTGTTGATATGCTATGGTAGGTGGACGATATGCGTTTCGATTCGACACGAACACAGTCGGCTGAAATGTGCGAGAGCTGAAAACCTACCTACATGCCTCTCGAGAGATGCCCATTGTAGCATGCAACCCAATGGCCCCCAGACGAAGAAAAAAGCAGGCGCACATTGGTTATCCCATTGATCTGGGCAAGCATGTAGGTATGATTATTAATGTATCTGGCCATCAATCCAATTATTTCCACCCATCTAGTCCTAAAAGTTCATAGCTTGTTCAGCGTACGGATACTCTACAAATTGATCAGTTAGTTCAATGGATACCAGAGTCCATACCCGAAGTTGTACTCTGCTCTGGAGATAGCAGTATGAGATGCTGGGTACGTACAGAGTAAGATTGTATTGTCAGCCACCACCACTCGTGCTACCTACAGGTCCCCCCTCCCACTGTAGCGTGGGAAGCGAGGTTTGTCCAGGGCCTCGTTTCGGCTGGACAGGGCATCCAAGGTGGGAACGGTCGTTTCGGGCGCTGTCATTGGCAAGAGTCGCCAGACCCCCCTCGTCTTTGTCGTCTTTAGCGCGCCCAGCACTCATCTTCTTACCCCACCACGTCAGAGAAAGGCTCTCCAGTGGTCCTCGTTCGTCCGTCATCCATCCATCCATTCCAAACCATCCATCCACATTATTCCATAATGTACCCAGACCACTACATCCTCGTTCGTGCCTGGTTCTAGGTATTCGCTAGTCTCTGCTTCCGTTCGGAGGCTTGAGCAGGTCCGGATCCTGTCAGAAAGGGGAAACGGCCTGCTCGATTCGAACAACATGGCACCGCTCAATGGCCTGGTCAGCCCGGTTCCTGGCTGAGTGGCCAGCAGCCGTCCAAGTCGACGTCGGGCACAATCCATCATGACAAGCAGCTGCAGAACTCCTGCCCTGTCGGAAAACCCGTCTTGAATAAACATGCCGATTCCCACGACTCGAGGCACCGATCAAAACAATCAGCACAAAACATGCCGTCAACGACGGCGGCCTTTCGCGTGTGTCCGGGAAGCCGACTTGTGTCCACTGCTACTCCTCCCACGAGGTTGATTGCGGGCAGCAGGATGCCGGGAAAACCTAACCCTTGCTGCTGGGCGTCCACTACACCACGTAGACATACACTACTAGCACCACTACTACTGCAATCTGCCTACTTTCCCATGCGAAATATGATTATGATGCGACCTTGCGGATGACCTTGTTCGGCCTGCTATGGCGGAGAATAGGCCTCTAGGCCCAATCTTGCTTTTTGAACGGCCCAAGGTCCGATCACAGCCAACACACACACACACTCGCTCACTCACAGACACACCACAGCGATCGCTCGCATGCACACACTCGCATGCAGGGCCTGGACGGGCACCCCCATTGCTGCAACCTCTTAGATGACTCGCCCAATAAGCAGCCGCCAAAGGAAAGCTCTTCTTCGAAACAAACCACCCTAGCTCGCAGCCAGGGCCTTCGGAACTGCGCTCTAGGCTAATGCAGCGTATTTGCCATGGGTGTGCTATGTACACTAGACAGACCTACCTACTCGGTCCCTGGCTCCACCACCACCGATGGGTCACGATCATGACATTACTACATAGTATAGCCCGCAGCAAGGAACCTACCCTGGTCTTTAGTCTGCATGATCCCCACGTTGCGGGTCCGTCGACCTCCCGTTCTCATTTTCCATCGCCTGCGGTTATATCTGCCGAAGCCCTCCCGCTGCTTCGTGATCAATGGCCATCTTGCTGAGCCTGCAGCTCTCAAAAAGCTCAACCGTTTGCAAAGAAGGGGGCACTTCTTCGTCTACTCGAGGGAGTATCGGTTTGGGGTTCATAGCATAACCCTTCCGTACCTTTCAGTTGTGCTTCAACCATCTGCTACAACCATCACTCAACTCGGCACCGGTCTGTCTAAAGGTCTAGTACCTCATATTCAACAAGCAGTTAGTCGTCAGTAGGTTTGTAGTCTTCATATCTTTCCTTGCCTATCATTGAACCTTTCCTCTTCTCCCCACGACATATCTCGTCTGAGACACACTTCGGCCCTCTCTGGCCATGGCCTAGACGAAGTCGACTAGGACTTTGCCTTTTTGTCTTATCTTAATTTTAAGCACTTGTGCCGAACTTGTTCATGTTTATTTCACTACCTGTGTTGACACCATTCTCACCAGTCCACAGTTTTACCCAAGACCAAACACCGCCTGTTCTCGTCTTGCCATGTGGCGATGATAATGGTTCGTACAAGTGAATGGTCACTTTGTTTGCTTCTTCATATTGCTTTCTGAAGCTGACTTGAGCATTAGAATATCGGCAACACCAGATAGCACAAATACCGTCACTCTGGTAGTGTCAGTCACAACTTGAACAAAAGCCCCGCCTGTCGGAGTCTTTTGTACCTGGAGTTTTGCAGTGCCATTCCTCAAAATAAAACACCCAATTCAGCGGGGTTGCTTGAACCATGGGCATCACCAACAATGGCGGGACCGATGATCGGACCCTCGTCATAACACTGAGCACGGTTCTCTCAGTTGTCGGAGTCATCATCATTGCGATTACAGTATATCTTTGTCTTCGACGCAGGCGGAAGCGAAGCAAGATGTTCAACAGGGGCATCACACCAATTGACGATGATGAAATCGCAACATGGAAGATCCGTCGAGCTGCTGATGAGAAGAGTGGAACTCGATTCACGTCTCGAAACTCTACCACAAACTATACCAGGAGACCTTCCCGGAATGCCGTGATCCAATATCAAAGCCAAACACGACCTTCAACAGACACCGTTCCCCAATCGCCGATTTCATATAGCAGGAAGCAAAGTTTCGAGGTTCCGCAGGCGCCGCCAGCAGCTGTGCTCGCCGTGGCACCAAATGCCAGAACGGGGCTTACGGATGAGACAGTACCTGGCGATCAACCATTTGTGGCGATACCAAAACGTCAGCACTCGAAGCTCTCAAAGGCACCACCGGTCTCGATCAGCTCGCAGCATCGTCCACGTACATCGAGGGGCTCAAGGAGTAGCAGTATCCGGAGTTTGGGTGATGCATGGTACAATGAAAATATGGCGGTAACGCCTCGTACTTCGAGTGATCATGCACCTACTCGGGTTCCCGCACGCGTCTATTCAAATTCAGCAGCACCACCTCGACGCTCACTTGGTGAAAACCGCCCATTCGTCTCCACCAACGATAACGAGCCGTTGACGACCGTGCTATCGCCTCCACCTCTACACCGGACTGAGATTGGCCGGGCCATTGGTTGAAGCCACGCTGCACAACTTCAGTCGATTTCCAACCACATGAAGCCATGTCCGCCCCACGGTTTCAGATGAACGTATTTCTTCACTGACGGCTACTCTGTTGCATGGGGCATACGAGCAAAATATGTTTCATAGCAAGGTCCAGATCGGCCAGGATCCGAGATTCCTTCTGGTGGAGGACCATGCTTTTCTGGACCAACAACTTGGGCGCTTGCGCCAACAGAGCCATTGATGGTCTCTCCGTCATTATAATCCACACAGACGGATCGACGGTTCTATTTTCGGGAGGCAGCTCAAGATTCTGCCTCGATCCACTTGGATCTTACATGCATTGCTCCAGAAGCACAAGTCATTATTTTCTTCTTTTTTCTTCTTCTCTTTTCAACCACATAACGAAGCACACGGAGTTAGGGTGGTTCAGATTTACGCAGCATACAGGAGGATATACCCATTTTCTTTGTAATGGTGGGGCATCAAGCGTTGGCAGTGACTCTGCCGCCGTGCCATATTGGAATAAACGTCGGATCACGAATGGATGCAATCGCTGCATGGATGGCGGATGGATATAATGAGACGCAATATTTGACGCCGTTGAAACATTTCACGAGCTGGCCAAACTCGAGAGCTTGGCGGGAGATAGCAAGCAAAGTTGTGCGCAAGACGTACGAACTCTGCGTGGGGGGGGGGGTGGGCCGGCGGCCTACGTAGCTTGGTAGCCAGATAAGATACAGAAACACTCTAACCTAGTCAATTCAAATAAAACCGATACTAGCTAAAACCAATACCAAACCAGTGCTACTGTTTAAAATTGTTCTGATTTGCAATAATGGGTGCTCGATTCGTCCCCCAAAATAAAAGATGACATGGTAATCAGTAAGCAACGCCGTGGTTTCATACCTCTGCCACCACGTTCATCGGCACCCCAGCAAGTGTGCACAAAAGAGCATCTTTTCAAGAGACCCGGCCGAATCGTTGCAGGCCCCGGCCTGGGTACTTTCTAGTGACGTATCTCTCGGTCGAAACAGCGGGTAAATTGCCCGCGGCACACGTCAAAAATTGGGAACGCGCCTCTAATAAAAGAGAAAATCCCAGTCTTGAAACCAAATCCCAAAACTCCCTCACATCAAAAAGAGACAAGACGACTGCAGACAACCAGGACCGGCATACACACCAGACACGTGGACTACGAAAACTAGTGCGCACTGGGCTCAAGGATGTAGCAAATATGTCTTCTACTTTTTTTTTTGGTCCTCTGCACGGATTTGCTACGATTCATGAACCCTGAAATCTGCTGAAATCTGACGTGCAGCTTTCCCAGGAGCAGGGATGGTTGAGGGGGAAAAGAACGTTGAACTCTGTACATACACTATGAGCGGGCGGGTTTAGGGAGCGGAGCGCAGCGGGTCCATTCTTCCCAGCATTCCCCTTGACCACCTAACCTACCTAGGAATATACTCCTTCTAGCTTCCAAAATGTCTCGGCGACATGGTAGGCATGCGGTCGCTGAGATTGAGGAAAAGGAGCCTTTTTTTTTATATGGCAATCGAAATCCGAATTCTCTTTCTGTTTAGCCCAAGACAACCGTGTTTGACTTGGCCCGAGTCAATAGGAGGGATTTTATTTCCTTTGAGCATGGTTGGTTGTTTGCGTATTCGGTTTGGGGGATATCTCTCCACTCAATCCTCCACGATTTGAGTTGCGCGCCCTACAGAGTAGTGAATCTTGGTGCGACTTGACTTTCTGTATTGTGGCGTTGCTTAGCTTGACTATAATGATCCTCTTGATCGAGGACCGGCCGAGATCTCTTTGCTGGCATAATAACAAGCTTCTCTCTAGCCGTGTGGCTTGATCTTGAAAGAGCGGCTGTTTCGTTTTCTTTTATTTTTGTGTAATCAACCTTCTTTCTCTAATTTCAGATTAGGCAGGAGGGGCGCCGAAATGTTCATAATTTTGGCAAAAAGAGGCGTCCTCTATCGGCCATGGTGCGTTTTACCATGCGGGGGGCACGGACATGCTCTGTGCCATCCCTTTAAAAAAGAAAAACACCAACATCAGACGACGTGATTTCACAAGGCGCATTGTCCGAGCACCAAGGAATAGGTTCGGTCGGATCTCTTGGAGTCAGTATGTTGTTGCTGTTTTGAGAAGAGGGAAAGACGGCTGGGGCCGAGGGAATAAAGAAAAGACATCGATGAGAGCGGCCGAGGTATGTAGGTATGCATGGGCATGGTCGATCTACAAAGGTCCGAGAGCCCATCTTCCCCCCTCAATAACCCCCCGGAGTTACCGGGAGGCTGGGATTGCATCGGAGCAGTTATACTATCCGCGATCAAATGGCAAGATGAAGAGATCCATGCATGTCCACGCTTTGGCTCAGTGTGTGTGTGTGTGTGTGATTGCTGCAATGTGGGCGTCTTCTGCTGCTGCATTGCAGACGGTCAAGGCAACCTCGTGTAATTTTACGCCGCAGCATCTGAAATGAGAAGGATTCATGGATGGTGCAATGCCAAACAATGGATTTCCATAATAGTAACAAGGCAGCAACGGGTTCAGCCTTGTCCAAGATACCTGTGCTGAGTCTGCCCCTAGCGAGTCTCACGGGCTTTTCCCCCGGGCGTTCATCTCAAGCACATTACAATGTGGCAGATGTTCAGTGAGGCAGCCAAACAACATGCTGTTATTGGGCTTTATGTACATGCTTGGTTGTCACTTCAGCCAACTAATGCACTTCCAGCCTTCAAAAGCGTCCGTAGAGTTGGTCCTAAGGCTATCGATATTGCCACAATGTCGTGCACAGAATGGACAAGTCGTGCATCGCACTGGTGTTATACATTGCGGTATGTGAACCTTGTAACTCTTGAGATGTCAAACTGCATGATGAAAGATATGCCTTCACGACAAGGATATGCGGATCATGGAAGCTCGAGTGATTGACGAACTTGGGTTGTCCATGTAGAGACTCTACAACTAGACAAGCATAATCACTATCTCCAATTCCGTGACATATTTCGGCCTTGTAAAGAGAAGTTGAGCTATGCCGTGATGCTCTCAAGGGCTCATAACTAGGGATATCTGCAACGGTATTGGTACGAGGGAGTAATGTATGGGCACTTGTAATGGAAGGAAAGAACTACATCATTAGCCTGGTTTTATGGCCTGGTCAGCAACATCTCAACTACCTAGGTAAATGTTCTCGTCTCTGGAAAGAAGTAGTGCTTGGGCAATTAAAGAGTAGTAACGATGATGGCTCCCGCTTGAATCCGACTGGAAACAATGACTTGCACCTGAACTGAAAAAGCAATCCGCAGCAGACGTAAACAACGCAAGGACAGTGACAATACACAAGAATATGTCTGATTGACTTGTTGCAATTGGTTTATTCAAAAGACTTTCATCAACAGATATATGCTTTCATCAGGACTTTAATCACGCTCATACGCACACTTCATAGAGATAAATCGTTTTGGTTCTCCTTTCCTTGTTCAGCATCGTCGACACAACCAAGCCTATCTGCACCGACATCGCCACAAAGAGACGGAACCCATTATTCAAGCATACAGTCAACATGTCTTCTCAACATAATCGCAATCCTCACGATAATAGGGGTGGAGAAGCAGCCAACAACGATGACCAGCACCATCCACCTGGTGAGTTTCATTCACGGGAACTCAGCAACTAGAAACGCAAAAGAATCGAGAGTCAACGGCTAATATTGTGGACAGTTCCGCGCGCGTCCACACATGGACCACAGCTACCTCCGTCCTTTGGAGCTACTTATCCCACACTGTACCAGCATGCGCCCCCCATAGAGAATTCTCCAGCAAATTATCCTACAGCACACCAGTACGCGCCGATGCAGCACCCACCGCAGCCTCATTTCCCAAATCCTCATAATTCTGCGCCTGCACCTGCGCCTGCACCTGCGCCTGTACCTGCGCCTGTACCTGCGCCTGCACCTATCCCTAGGTACACCAACTACAAGAGAGAGCTCTTTTGCTGGCTTGCGAATGGGGCGCAGGGTTTAGGCTATAACAGCTACGACTGGACGAGAAACTCGTTCGCCAGTCGACTGGCCCGTGAGATCGCATCTCTAGAGAGAATGGACTTGACCGAGACACAGTCCCAAAGGCTTGCAGGATTCTAGGCGCATCCAGTATATTCTTTCTGGCGACTCAGTGCTCTGTCTAATTTCATCATTGTTGTCGACAATGAGGAGCCCGCCGTAGTCTCGACAGCAACCAGGCTATGTGGCCAGCTCGTGCAAAGCTTGCACTCAGATCAAAAGTTCGTCATTCAATTCTTTTGTGGCCGACAGGTACCCTGGGACCATATGAGACTGTTTACTGGGCCCCTGGGGGCACTGCGGTCCATGGCAATGCAACTTGTCTTGGGCATCGACCGGGAAGAGCTTTTGCTTCCCTGGTCTCGCCAAAGACTCCAGCCTTTGATAGAGACTGGAAACACAACCGCTTTGCACAACATCTTTGCTCTGATTTTGCTAATTCTGGCAAACAGAGGAAGGACTGAATGTTTCATCATCATCGACAACCCACGATTCTTACCTGGAACGATACCCTTTGTGCTGCCACAGCTACTAAAACTGGTACATTTCAGGCACCGTATGGGAGAGGAGAGCGAACTGAAGCTCAAGGTACTGGTGACAAACTTGCCTGAAGTGGAACTTCCGGATTTGCCCAGAGTGCATATCTAACAAACAGCGCTCCCCAGAGACAATGCCTTGAATTAGAATGGACTTGTGGCCATCGACATTTATTGCCAACAGGCAACTGGATGAACCCTGATCAACGATGCTGCCTCACTGGCTTATATCAGAAGGCTCTTTAGCACCTGTCTTGTGTAGCTAGTTAGCATCAACTCAGATATCTTTCGTAAGCTCCTTCGTTCACTTTTTCTCTTTTACAATGACTCAGGTGAGAGATGCAGACGGGTAGATGCTAAAGCCTCATGTGATCATCCCCGACCAAAGCCTCAGTGATAGACACTCTTCCTTTACTGGAAACTTGTCTATCTATAATTAGATCAATATAATCTTGCACACCAAACCCACAAAACATTCATATAGTAGATTTAAATTAATAACCATTCATTTTCAACCCTCCACGAAATGTGACAGCCAACATGAGGTACATCCGGACGCCATGGAAGAAGTCATATGTCAGGCTTGTTCAACTAGTAGAAGACATCTGCACGCAAAACCCCCTCCCCTTGACCTTGGTTAGGGGTACTTGGACAACATTGGAGAAAGTGCAGATAACATCAATCAATATGGTTTTCTGGCATGACCAGCGACGTCCCAACTATGGTGACAAGAGTGGGATACGATGAAGCAACGACACAGGTTCGAGTCGTCCCTGCAATAGCACCAAAAATCGCTACAAAGCATGGGGGTTTAAGCTGGTGGAAGGTCCGGTGATGGCACATGTGGAGAGGCCGGGATATTGGGAAGACAGGCAAGGACGCCAGTGAAGGAGCGCTTCGGATTATCTCAGCACTGTGGGTGACGATGGCCGTGTGGTTGGGGACTACTTGGTCAACATTAGAGAAAGCGCAGACAACATCAATAAACATTGTTTTCTGGCATGACCAGTGACGTACCAATTCACCCCCAGCAGACGTAAAGCACAGATACGTGCTCGAGTACATCAAAACAAGTCTGATAAACTATTTCTTTTTTTTATGGTTATTACATACGCATTGAACAAGACGTACGTATATTATAATCAGGTACTTGGTGCGAAAAAAAGGTGAGTATCCAAATCCCAATCACGCGACCAATGCCTCTTTCTTTCTACGTTTCTTCCATTAACAGAGGCACCATTACTGACCTAACCTGCACGCCAAGAACCCATTTCGAAGAAAAGCCCATTATTCGAGCACATAACAGATATGGCATCTCAGCGCAGCGAAAGAGGCAGTAGCAGAGACACAGGCACAGACACAGTCCCAGGCACAGACATAGTCCCAGGCACAGGCACAGACACAGTCGCAGGCACAGGCGGAGATAACAACCCTCCTGGTGAGTTAGTTTGACGGACTCTTACAGGAGTCACAAGCGTGAATAGAACCAAAGTGAACGCTAACTACATATGATGACATAGTCGAGACTCCCACTTATCTTATTCCCAGGAATCAGCTCCTCAAGTGGCTCTCCGTTGGTACACGCATTCGACACAATGATGCCCACGAGCTGAAAACGCTGACACTCAATATTCGAGATGCCAACATTGAGACTCTATTCAGATGGAAGCTTTCTCGCCATGATCTCTCTCGTCTTCGGACAGTTTTGCGCGGCCAGGATATCGAAAGTTGGCGCACCAGTCAGTTGTCTGAGTGGTTGTTTCTCAACACTCATCCTATTTTTAAATTGGTACTGAGTCAATTCTGTGGTCGTCTACTAGCACAGCAATTGCTTCTCGAGAATCGCCTGTTCATCTCATTCCTCTGGACGCAGCACCCTAGTAAGGGCGAAGCGATCCTGGATGCCACAGGCGCGATGCGTTCCCTAAACATGCAACTGCTAGCATTACGCCAGCACACATCAATTCCTCTTCCTTGGAGCTCCGAGGATCTCCAAAATCATCTCACTGGAGGGAGCATGGAGACACTCAATGATCTCTTTGCTTCAATGGTCCGTCTATCGGGACCCAAGCAGCTCTTTGTCATCATTGACCGTGCATGCACTACCAGCGGCATGGACAAGGTGTTGCGCAAGCTATATGATTTATTGCTTCAGCTGCGCAATATGGATACCCCGGTAATTCTCAAAGTACTGGTGACGAAAAGCCATAACGACCTTTTGGAATCCAACTTTTGGAGGGACGGAGTGCGGAGGGTGAATTTAGAGTGAGCGGGTGGTTGGCATGAACATACGGGGCACTGAAGCCGTGGCGCTTTGAAACATGGTCTGGATCTTATGCGGGTGTGCGAGCATGACCAGCATACAAGTACTAGCTAGTGAGCGTTATAGATAGGTGGATAGAAAGCCAGATCATTCCTTTCTCAACCTGAACCACAACGATTCATGTTCGTTTCTTTCTGTAGATTCCGTGGATACATTGGATCCCTCTGATGGACTTAATACAGAAGATGCGTGCAGACCAGATCTGTATGTCACCTGTAACAAAGATAAACTATGTACGTGTGGTATGATGAATTTATCGCTACCACTTTTGTTAATGGTGTTTGCAACCCCCCAGCCTCCTTGGCGGGTGTCCTCTGTGCCAAGGTAGCAAAGAGCCTCAACTCTATGCCCAGGCATGTTGACCTGTCTACTTCTGTGGACCAAAGAGAAACAGTGGTACTCCGTCACACAGTGATAGATTTTCAGGAGATGAAGGATTGATGCGGTTCATCACTCTTTAGTTGCTTGCGGTCTCCCCCCAGAACGAGTTCTGGCTGCCAGACCATGTCACTGTGCTAAGAATTTCTGTTGCAAGTCCAGGATGGTGGGATACTGAAGATCCAAATGGCAGAGATGGAGATTTGCGTCGTCTTACATCGAGATTGTACCTTATCACAAGCTTTCTTATTTTGAAAAAGTCGTATCCGATCGGAGATCCGGCCCAAGTCCGCCTCCGACGAGCCCGGCGGTGCAAGGGGTTAGTATTTCAATTGCTCTTCTGGCTCGACGCAACAAGAAGCTTTGCATACTCCGCGTGGCCGCTCAAATGAAAAGCTCATGCCATGATTTGATTTTCACTCAATGGCACTCTTTGTTGCTGGCTCAAATGCGGAAAAAGCTCAAGGTCAGATAAGTAAGAGAATTTTCTGGAAATGCCACTATTCCGTGAAGATTGACTAAAACTCCGTGACGGGCAAAGATCGGCGTACTTAATTTCAACCGGGTCCTTGGGCCTGGGGATGGCCCCAGATCCCCGGGTCAAAATCGCTCAATTCATCAGACGAGAAGAGAATGAGCATTGGTGTAAAGAAAATATCAGCGCATCATGTCGCGAGAGGTAGGCAATATTACAACATACTTGCATTCGACAACAGACTCTTCTTCTCGGCATCACGGCGAGCTTTATGCCGCCTCCGTTTGTCTTCTTCGCCCTTCCAAATTCGTGATGCAAAGTACAGATCCGGAGTGTATGGGGATAAAATATCCACTGAAGAAATCCCCACAATCAGGTTTTCCCTCCCATCCTTGTCCTTTTGCCTGCCATTTGCACTGAAGAAAACATGTCGCGCAGCGTCTCGAGGGCATGTGCCTAAAGTTGCCTAAAATGGATTGTGTGGGGGCCCCGGTATGGAGTATCTTGCGGTCATGCGGAGGTCGCATCGCGGACTCGGTTGCCATAATGCGGGGCGAACCATGACCGACTTTTATACCAATGACATCAAGTTGCGAAGATGGTCTTTCACGTTTCCCAGTATTTTCATTAGTCGACAGGGGGACAACAAGGGAGAAGCATGGAGTTGAGCTGTGCGAAGGGAGTGGCGGGCAGGACGGTGAACGTCCGAGTTGAGAGAGATCCGCGGGTTGAGGGAGAGGGGCTCGAGGGGGCAGAGATGTATAATAAGAGAGGCTTGGGAGCAAGTTGTCGAACCGAAGACAGTGAACAGCACGCATAGTCCCTCTCGGTTACTGCAGCCATGGCCTTCTCCGTTCGGGCCGTCCTGGCCACTCTATGCGCTTTGCCTCTGGCTCTCGGTTCCTACGCTACATCCAGCAATGGAGGAAAGTGCTCAGCTTCACGCTACGAAGCCCAGCCGCGGGCCTTCATTTGCACCGACATGTCCAATGAGCCCGATGATCAAATGTCACTTGTTCGTTTGTTGACCTACTCCAACGAGATCAACATTACTGCTATTGCCGCCGTGACCTCGGTGTGGAAGAACGACACCATCGACAAGGAGACCATCGGAACCGTGCTGGGCGCCTACGGAGGCGTTGTTGACAACTTGAACGCCAACCTTTTGGATGATGCCGCAGCCTATCCCACGGGAGACTACCTGCTCGACCGTCTCGTGACTGGCTGGCCCGTGTATGGACTGGCAGCCTTTGATGAGGATGGTATAAGCACAGCTGCCCAAAAGCTCATTGAGGAAGCCGACGAGAGCAGCGCCGAGAGCCCACTCTGGGTTGCCCTCTGGGGTGGCGCCAACGTCTTGGCCGAGGCACTGAGAAACGTCTCGGCAACCCGCGACGCAGAGGCCGTTGACACTTTTGTCTCGAGCCTGCGCGTTTACTCCATCTCGGACCAAGACAATGCGGGCCGCTGGATCCGTTACAATTATCCCAAGCTCTCCTTCGTTGTTTCCCTGCACGGCTTCAGCGAATACACCGAGGCAACATGGAATGGCATCTCCGGTGAACTGTTCCGCCACTTTGACAAGGGCGGACCCGACACCAGCCTGGTCACCAACGACTGGTTGCAGACGCACATTCGCATTGGTGAACTCGGCCAGCACTACCCCAATTTTTCCTTCATCATGGAGGGAGATACGCCATCGTTCTTCCCGCTCATCCAGAATGGTCTAGGTGATATTGAGCACCCCGAATGGGGCAGCTGGGGAGGGCGCTACATTCCCGCAGATGCTTCCGGTCTCTCCGCCGTCTATGCCGACGCATCAGACTTTGTTATTGGTGCCAACGGCGACACATTCTACAGCGGATTTGCGAGTATCTGGCGATGGCGACAGGCCTACCAGCATGACTTTGCCATGCGCATGGGCTGGACTACGGGCGGCTTTGAGGAGAACAACCATGCGCCAGTCGCCGTGATCAACGGATCTTGTGGTCCTACGGCTCTCCAGCTCGACTACACGTTTGGCGACTCCATTGTCCTGGATGCGTCGGAGAGTTGGGACCCAGATGGTGATGACCTCACCTTTGAATGGCTGCACTACAGAGAAGTGGTGCAAAGATTGGAGGGCGAGATCTCTCCAGTCAGCGAGAATGTTACCTTTACGCCCTCGGAGACCCAAAATGGTCTGGTTAGCATCACGCCGAATGACAACATTGTAAGTGATACCACTCATTTCGTACCATGACTCGTCGCTAATATTCCACCCCTAGACAATGCACATTATCCTCCAAGTGCAAGATGACCGCCCCATGAACGTTACAACGTATCGCCGCATCATCTTGAACCCTGTAGCTTAGGTTTCTTAGTCGGCGCCATCAAAAGAAAGAAATAAAAAGAAAACATTTATACCCCGCAAGCAAATACCAGACTTTGACAAGATTAATGCGACAAGCCCGGTGCAATACTGACATGAATGCACTAACAGCAGGAAAGACAAACCACAGGTTTATGGTCGACACTAGAAGTTTACCACTACTAAATCTCACGATCATCCACCAAAACCACCACGGGAGGACTCCACGTCGCCCACCCAACTATATACACTCGCGATGCCCTCATCCTTAGGTAAGAAATGCAAAACTTTGCAACAGCTCCCATTAGCAGTATGGGTCGTCTTACGAATACTTCTCCCAACAACCGGCAACAGGTGATTCAGCATTAGTGGTTTAGTGGTAAAATCCATCGTTGCCATCGATGGGCCCCGCGTTCGATTCGCGGCTAATGCAAAGTATAGTTTGTTTTCTTTTTTTGCATTGAAAAACATTTTTATTAATATATCGAGGAATATAAAGTACGCTATCGCTTTTTATTAAATAACGGTGGTTATATGTCATTGTACTGAAGTCCCATACAGGCACTGCGTAGGAGTGCCGCACCGCTACATGTGGGATTAGCTAGCGCAGCACAGCTGCACTGGATTCTTGCTTCTGCAAGAATCAATCTGTATAGTACATCGTAATATATGGTGTACTGATTACTACCTGACGTTCCATCGGTAAACTGTTACAATAATTTACAAATATAATCGCAAAAGCGTGTTGAATACTTCAGCTTGCACTGAATTCATGGCGACCTAATGGTAGACTATGGCCATTTTAATTTAAGGGGACACCTCAGGATTCTTATCATACCACACCATCTTGACAACAAGTGCGTCGGTGTTATTCCCATGCTGCATCGACCTCGCTCTATTATCATGCTTTGGCATGAAATCTGAATATCTCGCCCCTGTCGAGATAGACGACCCTATCGTCCCATCCGTCGTGGCTCACCTTGTCCTTGAAGTCGCTCAGAGGCGACAAGAAGACAGAATAATCGTCGTAATGGATCGGAATGGTCAAATCCGGATTGACGAGCCGCATAAGCTGAAGGCCCTGCTCACAAGTAAGAAGTAGGACAAATTAAGATCGCACTGCGACTTGATACCAAAGATAGACGGGAGCAGTGAATCAAGTACTAACCTGCGCGGCGTCCATGGTCACCATGAGCAAAGGCATCGACGGGCCCGGTATCGTAGTCCCGCCTAGGTGTACCAGCATCAGATCGATGCGCTCGTCTTTTAGCCAGCGCGGAATGTCCTTTAGCTCGTCTACGAACAAGGTGTCGCCCGAGATGTAGGTGCGGTAGCCCATCTTCACCGCGGCGCCTTCCTTTTCGGCATCACCCTGTTGGTATCCCAACTCCAGCATCCAGCCGTTGGTCGGCGGCACGGCTGAGAGCAGGTCGTTGGCCGCGGACAGAGGACCGGGCGGGACGTGTTTCCCGGGCATGCCAGTGACTTTGACGACGGGCTTCTTCTTCCATTCTTCCACAGCCCCGACGACTCCCTCATGTCCAGTGGCGGTGGCGACAGCAGCAGCAGCACCACCGTCGACGTGTACGAGGAGGCTCTCCCAAAAGTCCAGCTCGTGAACCTCCCTGAAGGGACCTCCTTCGTCCCCAGCACCCCTATCCTTGCCGTCCGTCAAACACCTCCGCGCATGCGGTGTCGTGACGATGGGAAAATCCCTGCTGAGCCTGCGCTCGACCTCGCGGTCAAAGTGGTCCTCGTGGTAGTGGCTGAGCAGGACCAGATCCACGGGTGGCAGCTCGGCCAGTTCGACGGCCGGGTTGGTCCTGCGCTGCGCGGTGACCCCCGGGCCCAGGTGCACGTGGTCGCCGGCGTGCAGGAAATTCGGGTCCGTCAGGATGCGCATGCCAGACCACTCGATGACTGTCGTCGCCGTGCCGATGAAGTATACGCTGCCATCTTCGCCATCAGTGGCTTGTGCCCTTGGCGGCGGCTGCGGGTGTGTATGTGTCTTTTTGATCGGTAGCGAGTGGCTGTGAGCAACACTACTGTCATTGCTTTCGTGCTCCTGCAGGAGGGGCCGCCGCAAAGACGTATTAATGCGCAGGCGTTTCAGCGTGGGCATTTTAATGGTCAAGCTGCAATTGCGAGTACTGCCTAGTAATAGTTTCTTTCGAAAGGTATATAGTATAATATATATTATAAACAAAGTATTAACGTGAGATTTATTGGACTCGATATTATATCTTAATCTCTTATAAATTGTGGTAGCAGCATATTCTAATAATACCTGGTCATTAAATCATCGCTTCGTCTTTATGACGTAATATAAAGCTTTTGCCGAATGTTTAATGATGAAACTTTTATTATAAGATGATGAAGTGTTGCATGGCTAACGATTGCGGGGTATTCACCACGCATCGTTATATTATAATTAAAAACAAGTTTTTCCTTATTTCTATTAGAACTTTATAACGGTAGAATCCCCGTAGCCATCCTCAAAATACTCATCGTCGTAAACGAAAAGCTACCCCACCACAACGCGGTAAGAGAGCTACACGTTACCGTGTCACAGGCTATCGAGAAAACGGTCGGCTTTCGCCAGGTAAACATGTCCTGCGATCGTAAGCAATTGGATAGAAATTCCAAATACGGAATTAGCAGATAAATCTTGAGATCTAGTCGCAGCGCCAGTGCGTATTATGCGTAGGGTCAATGCGATATTGGTAGCGAGACGGCTGGTCATAGACTGTGCTGGTTTTGATTGCCATATAAGTGATGTCTTTGTTGGGTCGTTGATTATACTCGATAGCCCAAGGACCCCGGCACTACTTGGCCACTCACTCAGTCAGGTCTAAAACGATCTGAGGATCTTTGATTGCTGGGCATCCCATGTAGTAAGTCCAGCTCTGATTAGCGACGTACTTAGGACATCAGAGACGCGTCATGTGGATCGGGGAGATGCATAGTCGCAGAGAAATTGTATGAACTGGAACTAGGACAGAACAGAGATACCAAGAAAGAGGTGGTGTAGGTGTATTGATGATGGGAAGGGAAGATCTCCTCTGGCTAGAATTGCACCATTCAACAGTCGTGGCCACATGAAATATCCTTTGCGGGCCATTTGATGAATAGGAAAGGTACATGTGTGTTCCTACATATGAGTGTTATCGCAGTGGGTTACAGAGGTACATGTGCTGTAAGCAAACCCAATGCAAGTGTGCGGCGTGTGTAAGTTCCCCAACTAATCTTTAGCGGATCCCACAGCGACAATTGCGCCTTGTGAAGAAAAGAATCAACGCAGGAATCGAGGCTCCTTCTCCTGTAGATTCATCCCTTTTCCTTGATTGTTTCATCCCATGGGTCGTTCAATCTTCAATTACTTTTCTCCGTGTCCTCATTCTCTCCCTCCAGCCATCCTCGTGTGCTGGTAGTTCTTCTGCTCTTCCCTCTTTGCGGGGTTAGTGTAGTGGCCTTGCAGATTACCCAACTATTAGTTGTCACTGTACGTACTTTTCCAGTTTCCAAGATGGAAGAATTCAGGTCAATGGCGCAGGAGATCTGTTTTAGATCTTCCTTTCCAAGGAGCCCAAGAGAGTACGTCTGCTATAGTCTTACTGAAGAGTCCATGAGTGAATCCCACGAGGAGGATTTGGCAGTCTTCTTTTCATCAGTCGATCAGGCTCCGACGCTGAGACTCGGTCTCATCCCCACCGATGAGCATCGCCGTCCGTGTATCAGCGGTGCCGCGTTGCGCAGTCTCTGGGCACCAGACGTTGCTGGCTTTGACGATGGCGCACTTTGGTTGCTCCATCACAAGTATGATGGGTATCATCACTTTCCGGGAGACGGCGAAATAGAAACCTTCTTTTTTGGATATTCGCGGCAAGCGATTATATGGACATACAATCGTCGTACGCTTTCCACCCGGGCTATGCTCGTTGCGCGATTGCCAAATCTATCGCCCAGTCGGTTGGCTGCAGAAATAAGTGAAAGGGCCCAGTCGCTACTGTTACTCGTGCTCGAGAGGCACGCCCGACACGTCTCTTCTCCCAACTTCATGGGCTACACATTCGCCGTTTCAGTCTGTTTCCTCTATGATCACTACGATAACCAGCATGAACTAGCTCAAATCCAAGAGATTGAGGCTGCTACGGGGTTCCAGTGGCTAGGAACGCCTTTGCGAGAGGGGTTTAGTATCGACCAGATCACAAAGTGGCTGCAGATAAGCGGCCAGGTTCTGATTGCATACTCGGGGCGAAAGCGGTCTCTCGGAGCGATTGAATCGCTGCTGGACCATTTGAACTCGGAATTGGATGATGAATACCTAAGTCCTTGCGAGACAGCCTTGCGAAATCATGCAATGGATTCTCGTCACCATTTATCCGAGGCCATTCCCCAATTGAGACGGCGCATTCATGCCTATGACAAGTATATGGATTACATGACTTTTCGCGTCGAGCGCCTGTCCAGCGTTGTAAATACCAACCCCGTCATTCAAACGTGGACATGAGATTTCTGACAAACATGCTGCAGCTATCTACGTTATTGACGCATAGCGATGCGCAGACGAGTATTCAGCAGGCGGACGCCAGCCGTGCCCTAGCAGAAGCTGCGCAACAGGACAGCTCGGCAATGAAGACAATTGCCATCATGACCATGGCATTCTTACCCGCTACATTTATTGCTGCACTGTTCGCGGTTCCCTCGCTCGATTGGCAGAGTGACTCTGGTAATGTAATACAGAGCAATCATTGGGTGTATTGGGTATTCACTTTGCCCGCTACCTTGATCGTTTTCTTGATTTGGTACATGCTCAATTATCGACATTGGATGATGCAGAGCTTGCGATCATATATAAGCAAGGCTATTCGTGGGAGAACGAACAAACTGGTATAATTACATCCGTTTTCGGAAGCCTTTTGTTACAAAAGAAGGGTCATTGCCGCATGATACTCTACGATTACCTACTAAATGACGGATCGACTTAATATCTAATGGAATATTTGCTTGCCTCTTTGTGTTGGTAAAGCTACCGAGCGGCAATCTTTGTTGCAAGCTGTGTGATATACATACCGAGGTAAAATCCACCCACGATACATGGGATGCCTATGTCGATGTCCAGATCAGCGGGGATGCACTGGGATCCATACATGCCATACGACAAATGTAGTAAAGTGACCTTTTGGGAATCCCGAGTTAGTAAGTCAAGGATAGCTCCTCGACATGCGCTCGCCACTTGCTTCATGCAAGAAGCCAAGGCCTGGCCATGACTTGTCTTTGATGAGTCTGGAAATACTTGCCCAGGTGATGCAAGACCACACTGCGATTTCACGTTCATCTGCAAGTCAGTTGTCAATAAGACGGTAGTCTGACCACTGGTGACGAGCGCACACATGGACGGAGCTGCAAGTTGAATAGTGGATTTGGGGATGTGACCTGACATCCTCCACTTTGATCGCTGTCCACCCCCACATAAAGACAATTGTTGGGGCTCTCGATCATGGTATGACAATGCAGATCTTCAAGATGCACGACTACACTAAAGTCTTGCTTCCTCGCATTTTAAATAAGCCTCAATCAAGATCCCGAAAGTCTCAGTTTTGACCACCCTCCTCTGATTAACGCGCATCTTATCACTATCTGAAGAGGAAACCATGACAGCCACATCCACACCTTCTCGACCGATGGGCATAATTTTGGTCCATGGCGGCTTCCATCTCCCGTCATGCTTTGACAAGCCCAAAGCCCGACTAGAGGCCGCCGGGTTCTCCCCCGTCCTCGCCGTGCGCCACCCCAGCGTCGGCCGGGACCCAAAGGTGACGGTCGAGGACGACGCTCGCAACATTCAGGCCGAGATGGAGCCTTACCTGGACCAGGGCATCGAGTTCCTCGCCGTGTCGCACTCGTACGGCGGCGCGCCCCTGACCATTGCCGCCAAGGGCTACTCGGTCGCGGAGCGCGCGGCGCAGCACAAGACGGGCGGCATCCGCGCCGTTGTGTACCTGACGAGCAATGTGGTGCCCAAGGCCGGCGCCAGCGCGCTGAGCCCGTTGCCGCCGCTGGATATCGTCGAGATGGGTGAGGGTCTCATGTGGGCCAACGAAAAGGCCAAGGCTGCCTTTTATGGCCCCGACATGGCCGGCGATGAGGCGGATAGATGCATGGCGGTGCTGCTGCCGCAGTCGATGGAATCGCTCCTTGGCGGAGTCTCGGTGGGCGTGGATGAATTGACTGTGTCTGCATATTATATTATTTGCGAAAAGGATCAGACGATTCCAGTGCGGACGCAGGAGGAGATGATTGCAACGATCCCGACGCTGAAGAGAGTCTTGCGCAATCCTGGTGGTCATACGGCATTCATTACAGAGATGGGAAAGTTTGTGGAGCAAATCATTGAAATCGCGGACGAGGTTGAGAAGGATTTCAAGGCATAAATTGTGGGAAATCTGGCAACGCCTTTCAAGCTGCGATGCGCATATCGAATGCGGGTTCAGCTGTAATTTCTTTGGTTTCAGTGTGCAGTATGGTTAAAGTCTTTATACGAGAGACTCATGAGCTTTTCGGAAACATGAGACCATTCAATTAGGATCCGAGATACACTGACATGAATCAATCTGACGATGATAGAACAGTACTAATACTCGTGAAACCGCACTTGATGAAATGACAGAAGAGTTTCAAGAATCATGCTGCAGTCGTTCGTATCACTAGGCAGAAATCCTGGCATCCCTCCACATATGATAGTGAAACATCTTGACTCCGTCCCCAAAGTCCTTGTCCGTCTTTCCGATGATCTCGAATCCAAATTTCCGGTACAGTCGTTCGCCGGCAACCGAGGCTTCCAGGTACGCATCCACACGCTGCTCGTCAAACTCGCGACAGCCCCACGCCATGATGGCATGACCAATTCCCTGCCCTTGGCATTCGGGCAAGACGCACATATTCTGGACATTGGCGCACACCCTGCCCTGGACGTGTCGCTGAATCTCTTGCCGGCCGTAGCGATCGATGGCGGCGGCGCGGGCCTGGCAGTCTCCACCCTCGACCCAGAAATACCGATCGAGGACGGACTCGGACGTCTCGTCCGACGGGACTGGAGGTCGGAGCGGTGTCGGCGTGGTTGCCTGTGCTTTCGCAGTGTTGGAATTGGGAAGGAAGAACATTGAAAAGCCCACGACCTTTCCGCGAGGTAGCTCGGCCTTGACAATTCTTAGGCCACTGTTCTCGTGTATGTCGGCCCTCAGTGCTCTTGTGTTTCTTGCCCGATTCTCGGCCGTGTCTGGGCCAAAGACGGAGAAAATTACATCGACAATTGAGGGGACATCGGCTTCTGTCGCCAATGACACGAGCACGTTGTCTTGGTTGGAACACATAATTATTGTAAATATGCAAATGATTTTTTCGAATAATGCCAGCCAACTGTTAATCAAAATATCATGAAAACACCGCAGAAAAGAGGAGTTGTGAGGGTAAAGACGAAGGCAAATGCATGGCTCCAGTGGGCGCTGGGTAGAAATTCGGATGCCTGTTTCACTGGTAAGGACATATGCAGACACTGAAAGCTAAGCTGGTCTTTGCCCAAATGATCGAGTGCTGCAACATGCACAGCGGTTTATGGAAAAGAAATATGCATAGTTAAATTAGGTTGAATGCCAAATCATGCAAAAAGAGCCAATGAATCAGACGTTGCAAGTGACACGACGTCGAGTCTGGTGATGTGATAGGCAATTGAGGAGATTCCAAGACATGAGATGCATAACCACCCGATACTGAGCAACCGAGGCGCAGCGGCCAGTGACCACGGCTAGCGTCCAAAAATTGGCAATGAAAAGGCCAGATGGTTTCACTGGGCTCGTGGATGCGTGAGGCTTGGCACAACGGAGATAAGATGCGATTGATAAGAGCTTCCGGATCTGGGCCCCTGCAAAAGTGGGAAAGTTGGCCCTACAACCGGGATTACCACGGGGAAGGCGCCTAAATTCTGCCACCCACCTTTGGCTTTCTCATCGTGGGCTTGGGTAGCATTTTGCACAACAAAACACTATACTAGGAATAGCGCAAATGGGAAAATATATCGCTCTATTTTACTTTTCTTTGAGTACCATCGGTTATTCGCAACCCAATTTCAGAAGCCGGCCATCTATTTCTCTATGAAAATCGCGCTCGAGCAAATTCGACCAAAAAATTCGTAACAATTTCATCAAAACATCCAAGCACAACATGGCAACGATCAAAGGTACTCGTTCGGGACATACATCGGCATCGAGTCCTCCCACAAACTATCCGTCACCAACCGCTTATCCGATCCGTCGGCATTCATGACCATGATTTGACCGTAGGGCTGGAAGGTATTGTCAAAGAGAACAGACTCGTCGCGGAAGCCGTACATGCCCGTGGACCACATGATGCGGCCGTCGTACGACCACACAGCGTGGGCGTCATTGGCTGGGCTGTCAGTGAGCTGCTTCAGGTCGGTGCCGTCGGGCCGGATGGTCATGATGTCGAAGCGGTCATCGTACCAGCGTGCGCCGTACTCCCATGTCCAGTTGACCTGGCGCGTGAACACAATGAGCTCGCCGTCGGGCGACCAGCCGGGGGTGTTGTCCCAGCCCTCGGTCAGCACGCTCGTCTCGCCCGAGGTCAGGTTGAGCATGCGTAGGCCCAGAGGCGCGGCACTGGTTCGGTTCCAGAGCCGGTAAACGATGCGCGTGCCGTCTGGCGACCAGGACGGGAAACCTGCGTTGAGCTCGCCAGGCGTCTCCGTCAGGTCCACGAAGCCGTCTCCGCTGGCATTGGCGCGGTAGATGGTGCCTGTTTCGGCGTTGCGGTCAAAGAACCATGTACCCATACCAACGGCAATCTCGGAGCCATCAGGCGAAAAGGTTGGCTGGAAAGCTCCACCGAGGCCCTGGGAGAGGTAGCTGGCCTCGGTTGCATTGTCCGTCTCCCACACATCATTCACATCAAAGGCAGTCACGAGGTCCGTGTATCCAGTGGACGACGTGACGACAGAGCTATTACCGAGCTGCTTCTGCGTAAGGGCGATGCGGCCAGTCGCATTGTTGAGCATTGGGAACACGTCCATGAAGCGGTAGTCCCATTCGCTGTCCCAGCTGAAAAGTTCTCTGCCACCGGCACGCTGGTCCCACGACACGACCTCATATACGACCTTGGAGCCATCGGGCGACCATGAGGGGTCACGCAGATAGGTCAGGTTGAATGCTGTGTGCGTAGCGTCAGGCTCAGTGTAGTTGATACCCTCACTCTCGCCGCCCTTGATCACGTATCCAATGTTGCTGCTGTTGCCAATGTAGTGCTGGAAGAGCTTGAGGTAGTCTCCAGAGGTGTGGTTGACAACATCAGTTCCACTGGCAACATCAACACTGAGGATCTGACCAGAGACTTCTCCGTACTGATACGCGGTACCATGCGAAGCGTAGGTGTCCTCACGAGACACTCTGTTGAACAGGATACGGGATCCATCTAGAGACCATGTAGGGGTACCGAGCGAGTAGCCATCTTCGCTGACTACTTGACGCAGGTCCGACCCATCGGGACGGACCACATAGATCGACAACGTCTGTGTGTGCTCCCAGCCTGTTCCCTCACCGTGGCCGGTCCACTCCGTGTTACGATCGGAGCTGAAAGCAATCCACTCGCCATCGGGCGACCAGGTGGGACGGTAGTGTCCCTGGGGGCTATCTTTGCTTGGTCGAGTCGCTTCAGTGTCGGTGAGGTTCTGAGCTTCGCCTGTCGAAAGATCCTTGACCCAGATATTGGCTGTAAGGTTGCCTTGCGTCGACACATAGGCAAGTTTGGTTCCGTCGGGAGACAAGGCACCCGAGTCTTCAAAGGAGTCAGTCGCTACAAGAGTTTCCAATCCTGTACCGTCGACCTTGATGCGATAAATGTCAGACTGGCCATCGCCACGACGCTCGCTGGTGAAGACAATCCAGTTGCCATCCGGGGACCAAGAAGGACGGTAGTCCATGGTCCAAGTCTGGTTGGACATGAGGGGGGTGGCATCACTGCCATCGGCATTGGCGATGTACAATTGTGATGCGCCGGGTGCGATCCGGTTCATGTAGAAGATTCCCGACTTGTCAGCCGCCGCAACGTGAGGGTTGATCGAGGCAGATTCCGAGCTCGACTGCTGCCGTGCAGCATAGGGACAACCGGCGAGTGCGCGGCTGCTGGTCAGGCCCAAGACGGCCGCGTATGATGACCAACGCATCTTGACAAACGAGTAGGGGAGTATGGTCGATTCTTGTTAATCTACAAGGACTCAACAACTGTACTGTCGCCACCCGTAGATCGACTGATCGTCCAAAGTCTTCAAGATCGGAAAGATCAAGAGGAACTGGCCCTTTTATTCTCGTCCGACAAGGGCACTTGGCCTTCCCTCCTTGCACCGATCTCTCCCAACCAAGCCTTTGATCAACCCTCCGTCCAAACTCTTGTCGCGCTAAGATGGAGTATCATCATGGGTCTAATTCTTGGCGTCCCCGATTATGGTCTCCGAGCGGGAGGACGTTCTGTGGAGCCATTTAGTGTAGAGAGCTGCGGCCTGCCGATTCTAGTTCGCACGTCCCTTGAACCTTTGAAACGCCGCCTATCAGTTCGACGAGTATTCCATTGCACAGGGTCAGCCATCATATTGCCGATATGATCTGAAGACTGTTTCCTTTGTCCTGTAGCTCCGATTTTGTCCATGACGAAGAACATCGGTCATGGCACTGATCTGGCACGTACGTATCCCACAGACGAGGCGACGAATGCAAGGACGAATGTGCGGGCTTGGCAGGTTCAGGTTTGCCGAAAGTGGACCACCGAAGACGGGTTGATAATTTCTGAACCTGGAAGATAGTGACTTCCTTGAAGCCCAAACCCTGAGCAACTGGCCCTGGAGGCGAGAAATTGCCCCGGATTGATTTGCTATGAGCAGATGCACATTTCGGATGACCGAGTGTATACTCGGCTGTTGGACCTAGCGGGGTCCCCTAGGTGATCCAAGCTTTCTCCTGTCGATCAGATCTTGCCGCAAAAGACTAGTGTGCCGTCTTGTGATTGGCCGCCTGGGTAAAGAAAACGACAGCATGTCGGTTTTGACTCGGATTTATCGTCGAGGCAAATCCCCCCCAAAACAAAGATCCTGTCCCCCGTGATTTCATTGAGATAATGCTTTGTTTCAAAACTGATCTTGGCTCTTGCTCAAGACGAATTGGAAAGCTCGAGCGCTTTTGCCACCTCGTGGATGACTTGTCTGGGCCATCATCGTCTCTTCAAGACTGCATTATCTGATGTGGCGTAGCTCTGGGCACTCTGATAGGTGATCCACCTGCAAGTATTCGAGACTAGAGGACATCCTATAGTTCACGGTCGATAAAAAAGACTTTCGCTAATTGGCTGGGGTAAAAGACTGGGCATAGTGGATTGCTGGAATACAATTTAAGAATTATCGCGCGTGTGGATATGACGTGTTAGCTAGTTGATTAATTTAGGAACCCGCAATGGAATTGTCATTGCTCGGCTCGGAGGTAAATTGCGAATTGACATTCATATTCAATTATGAAAACTTTTCCTTTCCATCTTTGTCCTTTTTGTCTGTTTTTGTTGCAGAATGCCACGTGAAGGAGACCCCATGCGCTCCGCACTGCAGCCGAGCAGCCCGATGGAGTGGTAGAACAGCTCATTCCGTGCTCTTTGTTATGTAATCGGCTCAACGTACTGAGGTTATATTTTCATGCCCGAATCAGTTCGCCAACGTTATACTTTAGCTTGAGTTGAATAGGCCTCAAGATAGTAGCTGTCAGGAGACACCACGTACCATTTGGGCACAAAGTGAGAGTACAGTGTCTTCTATGGGCAATTGCAGCAAACAATTCTCACGAGGTGTTACATGTGGAGTTTAGTTCACCTATAGATGCGAACGATAGGAAATAATTTGTCAATTCATATCAGTCATCCGTACATAGCCGCCAGTGCTCTGTGCTGGATATCCTCCCCATTCGTGCCAAGCAGTCTATGTAACCAATAAACACCGAAGAAATGAGAATCTGCTCCGAACCTGGAGGCAACATGTGGCCATGAACGAGTAATAGTGGCTTGGAGTCCCACTGTTCGTGTTTTCGTTGCTCGGAAGTTTGGTCTGTAAAACCGTTCCTAGATCCGACTTGGCGAGCAAGTAGTAGCAACAGCGCATGATAGTTTATGCGTGTTTCTAGACCTCCCACGGGGAATGTCCTGTATCTAGACTAGAACACGATCACTCGAGCTCGGTAATTGTTCCAGACAAGCCATCTCCTCGCCAGGGTTGCTCTTGTCCTTGGGAGGGATGCCAAACCAGCCGCCGACCACGGTGGCGACGGCGACACCAATCTGCGGAATGAACTGCAGAATCAACCGCACGGCAAAGGTGCCCGTAATGGGATCCAGAATGGCGAGGTGGTCAAAGGCATACGTCGTGTTGTAAATGAGCCGCAGGCACTGAAACGGAATGGCCACGGCCGCGGCCACAATGAGGGCCCGGCAGGGCTTGAACATGGGGTGCTTGCGGTGCAGCGCCGACGTCCGCCTCCAGGTCGGCCAGATCCACCAGCACATGGTGGCCATGACGCCCAGCATGAGGCAGTTGCCGATGCGGTTGAGCAGCTGCGACGCCACGCCGCCCTCGCCCGTGGCGCTGGGCGAGCCGCCGTACGTGGCCAGGGCAATGCCCGCCGTGTTGCACAAGTGGGTGACGCCCAGAATGATCTTTTCGGTCCAGCGTCGAGGGTAGGGGAGTGTGATATTCCTGTGGTAGACATTAGATCAACGCTGACTCAGCTGAAAGGAGGGTGGGTGGGATGAGTTGAGAGTTGGGTTACATACACTTCGTAGAGGAGTCCAATAATAGTTAGCGACAGACAGGCCAGACTGCCGGCATTGGTCATGATGGCCACGGTGTTCGGCAGGAGTGGGTCGGCCCGGTGCACAATGAGATATGCGTCGGACGCGAACCGAAGTCCGAAATATGATACGAAAATCGGCCAGCACACCATTCCGTTTTTCCCGTGCATCCAGGTCAGGTAGCAGGTGGGGAAGAAGAGCACTGCATATATGGCCAAATCGGCAATTGCAAGATTGACAATATTCAGCGAGGGCGGCGGGAGGTTCACAGCTGATTCCGACATGGTGACTATAGAGTGTTTGGCGTGGCGTGATGTCAAGATCCCTTGTTAGTCGATTGAAGATGGCGTTGCTAATGTACTGAAGGTCTGGCAGTCAATTCAAGACAGACAGAGTAAGATGGGTTGATGGTATTTGACCGGAGTAGACTGGAAGATTGTCGTGAGTGATATCCAATATTCCTAATGGCGTAGAGGAATGAGGTCGAATTATACCAAGTACAGAGCGCACAGAAGAGCATCTAAGCCACAAAGTCTGCGTTTGACGATACCGCAATGCGAGATGCGCAGCGAGTTGCTAAATGTCTGCCTGATGGGAAGGAAGATGTGTTGCAGATGCAACAAGCATCATGACGGCAGTCTGAGCTCCATCAGGCCAAGCCGACTGCCGAGTGTGACTTGTCCCGCAAAAGGACTGCTATAATTACAACAAGGCACGCTATCCCTATAACTGTTGTGGAATTAAAAAAACACGCATAGATGAGCTGTTTCCATAGATAGATAGTAGGGACTTCTAAGTTCTATTCAGCCCTGTTTCGTGCTAGATGGTGGCAGTACCGGTAAATTAGCGTAGCGTTTCGGGTAGTGATTGCATTGCGCCATAGTACCATCTAAGGCTCTTAGTCGTTATCCATGGCATTGAGCCAAAAACAAGTCGAGGGGATGTAGATCGGGTACTTGTGATGAATACTCAAGATATGGGCATAAACGGTTAGGATCAGCTAGACAGGGTCAACTGCCGGCGAGCGAGCGGATGCTGCTGGGGGTCATCGAGAAGAAGAAAAAAAACGTTCGCCCATGTTGCTGGCGCAGTGTTGACCAGGTTGCGATTGGCCAGCCTTGTTGCACCCTATCCATCAACTTCACGAGATCTGCAATATGCCAACATGTAACATCCCGCAATGGGTCGCATATAGTGTAAAGAGTGCTATTGAGTGGCAGTGAGACAAGGATCTATCCATAAAAGTACTACATCCAGGAGCACGTACGGGAGAGCATATAAAGTGGAATCATGGTTCGACACCCAAGCTAGAGAGTACCTAACCACATGGTCCGCTAGATTATAGTCCGTGTCAACCGAAAGCGAGCCAATAACAAGCGGAACCGAATCTATAATGTCCCCCACCTTTTCCTCAAGACTCGACCTCAACTTGGCATGCAAACTTTGAGCCTTGGCCCAATTAGAAAGGGCTCATTCAGGGTTCGGGAGTCTATGAGATTGTCAAGGTCGCCAGATTCTAGAATTCTGGCGGACTGGCTACTCCCGAAGCCTATTCTTAGACTCCTGGTAGACTCAAATCTAGTGTGCCTCCAGGTACACCGTTCAGTTTGTGGGGCAAACATGGCCCGTTGGCATCTAGGATACAGAAATGTCGAGACTTGCAGCCCCTCTAAGCCTTCCCGACCCCTAGAAGATTTGTGCCTTGCTCCGTGATGCCGATGCGAAATCGACAAAGATTTCATAATTCGAACTTTGCTTCCGCCCGTCATGATCTCTCGACAGCTCGCTTTCGCGGCGAACCTGTCCCCCCCCATCCTCCCCCTTGCTTCGGAGGCTGAACAAGCCTTTTGCCCCCCGTACCAATCTCGGCGAGACCACCACAAAGACCGGGACACGGCAGGGCCCAAATCTCCGCCGTTCGGATCCCTTTGGGATTGGCTGCCACCTGCGCATGCCACCCCGATTGTCAAACACACCAGACTCTGAATACATCTGGTTAAAGAAGGCAGTTCCCCAGGGCCAGCAACCCAGCACTTGAATTTTTGTTATGATGCACGTGCAAGGATCTGCATTCTCATCATTGTCACCATGTCTTCTGAAAACAAGATCACGGATAGCGACTTGAGCGCAGCGATTAATCAAGATGATCCTGAAAAGGGGAAGAGCAATAGCGATGATGCTCCCTCTGAGGCCGCTGATCATGAGGGAGGTCTCATCGTTTATTGGGAACACCCAGAGAGCGAAGACCCCGAAAACCCCCTAAATTGGAGTGACAAGCGAAAATGGGCCATGATTGGCATCTTGTCGTTTCTCAGTTTACTTGTGTAAGTCTTGCCGAGTCAACCCTTTCACAAGTGCAACCGCACCCGCGACTTCTTTTACTAAACATCAAACTCTCCTCCGTGTAGTCCTCTGGCATCGTCTATGCTTGCGCCGGGCGTACCACAAGTCCTTGAGGAATTCGACATCACCAACGATCAACTCGCGACATTTGTCGTCTCCGTCTTTGTCCTGGGGTTTGCGCTCGGTCCGATTGTCATTGCGCCCCTGAGTGAAGTCTATGGGCGGAACCTAGTCTATCATGTCTGCAATGCGACTTTTACCGTCTTCACGATTGCCTGCGCCCTCGCGACGAACATGGGCATGCTGATTGCCTTTCGTTTTCTGGCTGGCTTCTCGGGAGTGGCCGTCTTGACTATTGGCAGCGGCAGCATCGTTGACATGATGCCGGCGAATCGAAGAGGCCGGGCAATGGCATTGTGGACGGGAGGGCCGATCCTAGGCCCCGTGGTTGGGCCAGTTTGCGGCGGCTTCCTCGTCGAGGATCTCGGCTGGAGATGGGTGTTCTGGGTGATTGCCATTGCCGTAAGTCCCCATCATATTAATTGTCCCCAGTCTGGTTGTACTCGCTAACACTTACCAAACAGTCTGGAGTTACTACCTTGGCATCGATTTTCATTCTTCGAGAGTCTTACGCTCCCCTCATTCTAGAAAGAAAGGCTGCTCGACTGCGAAAAGAGACGGGCAATCCTGGCTATCAATCAAAGCTCAAGAGCGCCGAGCCTCCGAAGAAGGTGTTTGCGCGATCCATCGTCCGCCCCATGCGACTGCTCTTTACCTCGCCGCTCGTCACGATCCTGAGTACCTACGTCGCCATTATCTATGGCCTCATGTACATCCTCTTCACCACATTTACGTTTGTGTTTGAGCAGTATTATGGCTTCAGCGCACGCAGCGCGGGTTTGGTATTCATTGGTGGAGGTATCGGCAACATCCTGGGTCAGTTTCTGGTCGGGTTCCTATCGGATCGCCTGATAGAAGCCGAGAAGAGAAAAGGCAACCAGCCAGAACCGGAGATACGGCTCAGCCTCTGGATCACCGTACCTTCAGCGCTGACGCTCTCGGCGGGATTGTTGATCTACGGATGGGGCGCACAGTTCCACGTCCATTGGATCGTGCCCGTCTTTGGCACGGGCATTATGGGCTTTGGCCTAATTGGCATCTTCATGAGCATCTTGACCTACCTGGTCGACGTGTACCAAGAGCATGCGGCTTCAGTGACGGCTGCCAATGCCGTGCTGAGAAGCGTCCTTGGTGCTGTCTTGCCGCTTATTGGCCTGCAAATGTATAATGCTCTGGGCTTGGGCTGGGGCAACACGCTACTGGGGCTGATTTGCTTTGTGCTCGCGCCTGTAACTTGGATCTTGGCGATATTTGGCACCCGCATCAGACAGCACCCAAAGTTTGTCAACAAAATTTGAGTGGCCCAATTGTTCTTAATGTCATAAAAAAGTAATAGTTATAGAATTGTATTTAGACAATGTTTAATGAAATTTCGACTTGATTCAAACACTGGGCTCAACCGTCAATGCATGATTGCGTACATTGGATGTTGTTTTCCACTGCCTGTATCTGAATTGAGTACGGAGTAGAGTCTGATTAGCCGTACTCCAAACTACTCGGGATTTGGCAGTAGCGACATTGCAAGATATTACTCAGCAATATGATCAATATGATAAAGAAACATCGAATTGGTGGTTTTTGGTTCCAATTTCGCAGTGTATTCATCTACGATTCTATCTGCTACGAAGAGCGCCGCGGGCCAATTGCACACTGAGAGGTCCAGCGTTGCTTAGCACCGCTAGCCATGACTAGAGCTCACCAGAAGAAGAAGAAAAGCCATTCCATGCCGCAGCACAGTTTTGGTTGCATAGTCTCGATATCCTGCTGCTTCGACCGTGCCGAGATCCAGATACGATGATCTTTGTAAATCATGAACAGAAAATCAACAATAATAATGTGGCTGAGCTGGGGGCTAGGCTGAATGACAGTTTGATATATCATTCATTCACCAGGGTCGCATCCAGTGGGGATCACTTTTAGGGAGGTCTTTAGCGCTGTGGGGGGTCGGGAGGAGAGCGAAAACGAGAGCGAGCTTTCCCGTCCCGTCGGGGGGTGTCATGGTCTTAGTGTTCTCGGGACGCTGAGAACACTTTGATTGCTTAACTTGGCGCCCTGATTCGTTGGGTTGTAGGTTTGCACTCGGGGTCCGCCTCGGACCGGTTTGCGATATGCTGCTGGAGACGAGTTCATTGCACGGCTCTTTCTCGACCAAAACCGAGAAACGAACCTATAATTGATACTGCTTGTATCAAATAAAAGGGCTCTGCATCATCCATAGTTACTAACAATAATCGTTTGGCATCAACATTCTTTTCTCAGCCCTCGCAACCCTCACAACACAATCCTCGAAATGGATTTTACACAGACTGCTTACCAACGTCTGGCAGACAAGTGGCCAGTCGTCCTCGTTGCCGTAATAGCACTCGTCGCCGCGGGCGTTGTCCCTCACCTGCTTAATGCACTACAAATCTCCAAAATCCCCATCATTGGTAGCGAATTGGGAAGTCTCGACAAGCGGAGGCAAGCCTATATACACTCGGCGCGGAAACTGTATAATGATGGATACCACAAAGTGCGTCTTGTGCTTGTTATCACATGGAAGGCTTTGCGCAATGATCTAACAGGCGGTCATTTCTAGTTCAAGGATGGGATTTTCCAAATCACCACGCCGCGAGGTACGTTGAGTTCATTTACTGAAGACAGAGTTGCAGCTAACGCGCCTATGGCAGACACGACAGTGGTAGTTCTTAGTCCCAAGTACTTGCCTGAATTGAAGAAACTGCCCGATCACACGGTCAGCATGGATGGCGCAGTCAATGAGGTGATTATCTAATTGGCAATGTTCATGAGCGCAGCACTAATAAGGGCAATAAACAGACTATCGAGGCCAAGTATACCAAGATCCAATCGACTGTTCCCATTATTCCACACACCATCAAAGCGGATCTGACGCCTGCTCTCAGTGAGTTGATTTCATTCATTCAAGTATCTGCGAGAGCACATTTGCTGATAAGGGGAATGCAGCCCGCCTGAATGCACTGATTGCAAATGAATGTCGCGAATGTCTCGACATTAATCTGCCCAAATGCCCTGACTGGACGTCAATCAATGTGCACCACAAACTCCTCCGAATTGTGGCCATGGTCTCAGGGCGCATGTTTATCGGACCTGAGCTCAGCCGCACCGAGGAGTACCTGGATGCTGCCATCAACTACACCATGGAGGTCATGACTGCGCAACGCGCCGTCGTGAGAATGAACCCGTGGTTGCGACCTTTCTTCGCCTCCCGGCTCCCGGAAATCAAGAAGCTTGAGCGGAGAAAAAAGGAAGCTTATGACTTCCTCATGCCCATGATTGAAGCTCGCAAGCAGTCCTTCCAGGATTCCAAGGATGATGGACCAGACGACATGCTGCAATGGCTCATCAGAAACTCGCCCAAATTCACTGATGTACACAGTCAAAATCTGGCCGAGGTGCAGTTGGGTCTTAGTTTCGCGGCTATACATACAACGGTCTTGGTCGCGACAAACGTGTAAGTAGCATTGCATGTCCATTTCTCACATCGTTTACTGACAGCGCCTTGAAGATTTTATAGCGCGGCAGCGTCGCCAGAGTTCATTCCAGAGCTCCGCGAAGAAATTGAGGGCGCTCTTGCGCAAAACAACGGTGTCTTTACCAGCCAAGCGCTACAGGCCATGACCAAGCTGGATAGCTTCCTCAAGGAGACTCTTCGCGTGTATCCAGCAACCATGGGTAAGGATAAATACAACATGAGATTTACGTGAGTCTTCAAACTAACACTTTTGCGCAAAGCATCTTTCCAACGCAAGGTGCTGCGGACATTTACGCTCTCCGATGGCCGTGTAATTCCTGCCGGTGTGACCATTGAAGTCCCTGCCGTCGCCATCAGCTCCGACCCCGAGGTGTTCTCCAACCCTGAAGAGTTTGACCCGCTGCGATTCCACAAGATGCGCCAGCATGCAAAGGAAACGTCCAACGAGAGCGGTGCCCTCAACCAGTTTGTCAGTGTGAGCGCCAACAGCTTGAACTTTGGCTACGGTCGCCACGCTTGCCCCGGTCGCTTCTTTGCTGCCAACGAGATCAAGATGATCTTTGGCCAGTTTATCATGAAGTACGACCTCAAGCTACCCGACGGAGAGACGAAGCGGTATCCCAACATGGAATTTGCACACATGGTAAGTCTTGACGAGCTTCTGCTGCACGATACCGGGCGCCGCTAACAACCTACCGTCTAGTCTATTCCTGATCCCAAGAAGGAGATTATGATGCGGGAGCGCCGCTAGATTACGCGACTGGATAGATCTGGATCGGAGTCAGGTGTTTCATCATTCGCAGCCACAGAATGCAGCATGTATTGTATCCTTTTTTTCTGCAATATTTTTGTTCCCTCGTTTTCTTAGAGATCCATACAAATTCTTTCAAGTTAATTCCCCATCTACGCAAAGGGCGGAAGAAGACGTGCATACATCTGTTGTGCATCTTGTCCAATACTCGGGTTGTGTTTCCATGGCCATCAAAGATCAAAGACGCTACAGTCCGTCAAATTGGGTCGCGACACCCCCCAGATTCGCCTACAGGGTTGCGGATATTGTATAACACGCACGGATTCTCTTAAGGTCCCCACGAAATACTTGGCGTGCGCTAAGTAGTGCCGATCTCATGCACTTCGGATCCTACTGTGATTGGCTCAACAGCCCAAATTTCTCGCCCAAGCCCCAGTTTGCACTAGGGGACCTCAACTGTGCATCTCTCAGATCTGTTTGCCTAGATCCATCTCGTTGGGAGTCGTGCCCAGGGTCTGAACTTTACGAGTGCCGATGGTGTGTGTTTTTTCTACGAGGGCGCAGCACATTGACTTCCATGTGTTCAGCAGCCAGCCGCGTCTCAAGCAGATGAAGAGCCAGGATCTTCTGACCCCAATCGACCGTTGTACAGACTGTATTAACTTTGGCCGGTCGCTCACTGGTCCGACATGAGCTAAAAGCCGCCTAGCACAAAGTGATTGCCGGAGGGCCCGTGGAAGAGCCGATTCATGAACGCATGGCATGGCATGGCTAACAAGCTGCGCCTTCACTGAAGACATACTAGTTCAATTAAGTACCTCATCTTTGAACTCATCACAGAGAATATACGAGACAACACTCGAGAGCTTTGCATATATCTGTCTGCTCTTGTCACCCACTTTTATCTTGCGGGGTGCAACAACTGAGCTACCAACACAACAAAATCTCCCATGAAAATCTAGAGGCCCCTTTTCACGATGGTTCAACGTCTGGGCTACTCCAAGTCACGAAATGGCTGTCAGAGATGCAAGAAGCGCAGAGTCAAGGTAATTCCGCTACTGAGAATATCACAGTATCCGCTGTGCAGCAATCACTCACATATATATGCCAGTGTGACGAGAAGAAGCCTTGCTCGGCATGTACGCGACATGGTGTAGTCTGCAGCTTGGTCGACCCCTCGTCAGCGGCGACAACATCTAGTGTAGCGGAAGCTTCGTCGGTGAGGGCTGCCTCGACATCAGACTTGGTAAGTCGCATCAAGGATTCCGCGGAGAACGGAGCTGAGTGGTCCTAAAGGACGAGGTCAATACAATTTGGAGCGCCGACACGGGATTTGATTCCGTGCAATCGTCGTCGTTTCTTTCTTTTACTAGTCTGGAGACATTGGCGGCATCGACACATACTCTGAATGCCCCATCGCCGATAGGATCCTCGCCATCCATGCTGCCGCCAGACTGTTTCCCATACTTTTCGCGCCTCGTACCCAACGAGTCGCAGAACCCCGAAGGTACAACTTGGGTCACCGATCTGGAGCTTATGCATCACTATAGCACCGTGGCTTGCTTTACGCTTCCCAGGGGTAGCCAGGTTGGGCACATCTGGCAGACAGAGTTCGTCCGGCTGGCCTTGAATGACGAACCGTTAATGCACCAGATTCTCGCCATCGCTGCATTCCACCTTGCCTATTGTCACCCAAATAACAGTCGGCAATTCCATATGCTCGCTTCACATCACCAGAGTGAAGCTGCACAGGGGCTGCGAAAGAAACTCATGCAGCATGTTACCCCCGAGAATGCCCACGCCTGCTTTGCGGCCTCATCTCTAATGATCATTGGCGCATTTGCTGCATTCTGCCTAGAAAATGACAGTGGCGATCTTCCTCGGCCATCACTCCAGGACCTTTTGGACATTTTTGGTCTCAACCGTGGAATGGACGTGGTGTTGCGCACCTGGGAGCAGTACATTCACCATGGACCTTTTGCTGACTTGTTCAAGAACTTGAACAACACAAAGCCCATGTTCTATCTCGAGGCCGTCTGCAAAAAGCTCAGCGACTTGGGCAGTAAGCTTCGGGGCGACGAGGTCGACGACCTGACTCCGCTCGTCGATCGCGAGATATCGAATTTCACTCAGGTCATGGAGGAGTCCATACGCGATGCACCTGTGCCTGAATTGCGCTCCGTCATGGCGTGGCCTATTGCAATGAAACCAGACTTCTTTGTTGCGCTCGGCGAAAAGAAGCCTCTCGCGCTGACGATACTTGCCTACTATTGCTCCATACTCCACGAGGCACAGTCGAGCGCATGGTATCTCCAGGGGTGGGGCATGGCGGTCATGAATGATATCGTGTCAACATTGCCTGCCGACAAGTTGGAGCATATTCTTTGGCCAAAATCAACCATGGGCCAATCTGAGCAAAACGCTTTTGGTAGTGGGATTCAGCCAGGCGGCCCCTTATCATTATGAAAGTTTAATGAAGGGGTATAGGACAGACACGGAATGCATGGGAAGAGACGAAGGCGCCTTTAAGAACCTGTCAGTGTCTGTTCCATCAACAATTAGAGAAACTCTTGTAATGGGCCCGTTTCAGCGGAATAGAAAACTATGCCGTGCCGTACCGTTGTCGAGAATAACAGCCCGCCCCCCTTAGCCGGCGGCACATCCACAATGGTGGAAATACACTCTGATGCGCCGTGTAAACTAGGTTGACCGCCCGAACGAATCAACGTATAAATTTCATGAAGAGATATTACAGCGGTTCAATCAGCCACATTCTACGAGTAATGACATGTTGTTTGGAGTGCAAATTCCACTTGCACTTTATACTTTCAATATCAGTTTGAACCTTCAAGATTCCTAGGACCCCTGAATATGATGAGCGACACCCGACGTCAAGATTATCGTAGCAGTCTATATAAATGGTTTTGTGCAATGAGATGCAGTCTTTAGTATGCTCCGTTCCGTCACAATTACTGTCGTATGATCACTTGAGGGCGCATCCCGAGTCAATATGTTCGGTCCCATACTGATGCTGGCCCTGCTGCTTCCTGGCAAAGCTCTCGCCAGGTGGTACCGACTGCAGGGTCATCACAATTACGGCTACCACCTTTTATCCCCGCCGCTGCCACCAGTGTCGAGCAGCGAGTCGACAGTCATAGCCACGAGTATCACGTCCATCACCTCAAGTGTAGAGACATCTTCCCTTAATCCAACCAGTTCAACCAGTTTGACAATCTCCAATGAGCAAACAACCACCACGGCAAGTTCGGTCACTCTGACGAGCGCCGTTTCAACAACAAGCGCGACTATTGTTCCTGTAGCAGAGCCAACTTTTTATATCCGAGATGCATCACAGCAGCACCAACTCAACATACTTGACGATTCACATCTTGGTATTATCTACTATGAAGATGTCCCCGGACCGGGGGGGAACCTAACTCTGTACACTCTGGATAAACAACACCGACTGAAATATGTGAGCCCAGGTTTTGAAGAGACTGGTTGGGTCGGAGTCACCACTCGCGGCGAAACCGACTTTACGTTTCTTGATCCCTACAGCGGCGATATTGGTCCCATCTTCACAGCATGCCAGTGTCTCATCAATCCTCCCACGGCGCACTTGAGCTGCAAGTGTCCAGAGGGCTTCATAGACAGCACCTTTATCCCGGGCAGTCAACCCACCGTCTACGCTCCCTGGCAGGCATTTCCCGTCGATGGCAGCTCAACAGTTGCGAGCGCCAGCCTACCTCGTCCGACGTTTGTGATTCGCGACGCCACACAAGCGCACGAACTATCGCTGTTTTATGACAATCCCCTGGATTCACCCGACCTCCCTGCTGGTAACCCATATGTCGGGGTTCGAGGCCGCCAGCCCCTCGGGCCCGACAGTGCGCTATTTACCCTGAACGAGCAAGGTGATATTATCTTTGCAACCCCGGGCTCACCATTATACGGCCAGTACGCCTACCTCGATGGGGCATACGTTACGTTTTTCGATCGCAACAGTCCGCAAGCCAGCAGTAGCAGCGAATGCATAGCCACCATCGCTCCTCTTTCTTGGGAGTTGACTTCGAGCTGCACTATTGGGGGTTCACCGCAGGGTTGCTGGCCGTGGGAGCTGTGCACGAACTGGTATGTGTATCTGGTCGATCCTAGCGATGTTTCTGTGATTGGAGGAGCTTGATTCTGCGTCTGATGGTTGCTTGCAAGAGAACTTTGCGTAGAGTTCCAGTCAGTTGAGACGCTTCCATAGTTCAATCATCATGCTCAATTCAAAATGCCCTGCTCTAAAATGTCTTGTTTAATGATGTTGCCAATCAAGATATTTCAGAAAACCTTGGATCCACACTGTTAAACTGTCAATAGAGGCGACAAAATAAACCGATCTTCATGGAAGAAAGATGCTGCGCATCTAGCTTGTGACAGCACTTGACCGCTGCGACGCAGAATCTAGATGCTTCAGAGCATCGTCCCTCGAGGGTTCTATGATTTGTACAACGGAACTTCGAGGAAGCATGTTACACCACCGGATCTGCGAGTGAACATGCGTCACTCGGCTCTATGTCCGGTATTTCGTCCGGTTGACCGGCAGTCGACCCACCGTAGCAGCTTCACTACACAGCCCCTCACCTATATATGGCTGTTATTCTTACAAACATATTTCTGCGGTACATTGGCGTTTGAGTCTAAAATCATCATCACGTCCCGTGTCCACAACAATCAATTTGGTCGTAGTCTTAAGCATGAAGGCTCTTCTGGGTTTCATAAGTACTCTTGTCTATGACATTGCTGCTCAAGGTACAAACTCATCCACGGGTAAGTCTAAAGACTAGCAAAAGTACATCATGAACAGGGTAACAGATCTGTACAAGGCAGCATGACTCTGGTGCCATTCAAATTGGACTCATTTCCTCTCGGCTCCATCCGTGCATCCGGTTGGCTCCATGATCAACTCCGACTGAGCGCCGACGGCCTCAGCGGCCATTTGTTTGACTTTTATCGCTATGTTGCTCAATCAGAATGGCTAGGTGGTACTTTTGAATACAGCGAGCTGCACGAATCGGCACCCTACTGGTTCAATGCCATCGTTCCATTGGCCTGGGGTCTCAATGACACGAGGTTGCAAGATCAGGCCCGTCAATTCTTGGACTACACCCTTGAGCACCAGGCCAAAGATGGATGGTTGGGACCCGAGACTACGAGACAAACTCGCGGGATTTGGGCGCGATCACTGCTATTCTTTGGGCTTATTGTAAGGAAGTATCATTCCATTACCGGTACTCTGTACTATTTACTCACGTCGGGTTTAGCAATACGCCGAGGCCGACGTTTCTCAGCAAGACCGCATCGTGACAGCCATGCACAAATTTGTTACCTTGACACACTCGATGCTCCAAAACAACTTTACGGGGCTGATTCAGCAAAAGTCGTTGGAGGATGATTTCGACCCGTTTGGTTATGGTCTCTCTAGGACCCACGAGCTGCCCATTTCTCTCATGTGGCTCTACGAGCACCACCCTGGGAATCAGAGTGCCATTATTCTGGAAACGATTGATCTCATGTTCCAAGGAGGCCGGGTTGTTGGACGAGATTGGACCACGTTTTTCGTAAACGGCGTTTTCCCTCGAAATACCACTTACAAAGCAAGCGGCTTCACCCATGGGGTCAATATAGCAGAAGGTTAACTATAGCCCAGACTTGTTCCACACGTGCAAAGGAGCTGACCATGGATAATAGGGCTAAGATATCCTTCTGTGCTTTACAGATATACCAAGAATGAGTCGTTGGTCCAGCAGACACTCGATGCTGTGGCAATGGTGGTCAAGTACCATACCGCTCTTTCCGGGACGCTGATTGCAGATGAGCATCTCGGTGGGCTGAGCCCGCAAAGAGGGTAAGATGAGCAAGCATCCCTACTGGAATCCATGATAATGATTCATGGTAGATCAGAACTGTGCATGGCTGTCGAATCCATGTTCTCATACGCGTGGTTATATCGACTACATGCAGTCAGTGATTTTGCTGACCGGGCGGAACGGGCCGCCTTCAATGCACTCCCCGCCGCGGTCAGCCCGGACTGTAAGTGTAGCACAGGCTTGAAAAGAATAAACATGGAACAGCACTACTAAGTGATGGGTTAGGGTGGTCTCATCAATATGTCACTCAGACAAATCAACCGTGGTCGCGAAATCTCACTTCGGCCAACCCATTTTTCGACGTCGTTTCATACGGCAATACTTTTGGTCTTGAGCCTAATTTTGTACGTGTCGCATTCCTTATATTCACTAGAGTCTCGCTAATCAAGAGTCTGTCATGTATACAGCCCTGCTGCACGGTCAATCATGGACAGGGCTATCCAAAATATGTCTCATCCTCGTACGGCAGGTTGGGATCCACTGGAGTCGCCCATATTCTTCTTGGGCCAACATCTCTTAAGACCACGTTGGGCGGCAGCAGCGCAGTTCAGGTGGATTGCCACACAAATTATCCCTTTTCCTCCAGCCTTGAATACACTGTAACATCTGAAGTCGCGTTTGACTTTTATGTTAGGATCCCGGAGTGGACAGCCATGAATTCGTCCTTTGCCATGCAGAATGGCCACAAGTCGCCACTGAAACCTGAGGCGGACGGACTGCATCACTTTCGGCTCGAACAAGGCGCGACCAAGCTGTCAGTCTTTTTGGATATGAGTATCAACATAGTCATGAGAAATGGGTCTGCCGGAGTATATCGTGGACCGTTGCTCTACGCTGCCGCCGCCGACTATAACGAAACCGCCTTTCAGCCCTTGAACTGGACCGACAGGTCAGCCTTGCCGACTGCACAAGTTGATCCAAGGTCAAGAGACCATGCACTGATTCCCACCTCTCCATGGATGTATGCGATTGATCCTTCAACCGTTGCAATGGAATCCGGGGGAGATTTGCGCGGCCCGCTGAGTAATCCCATCTTCTCCAAGCACGCAATACTGCCAACACTTGCAGTCGATGCGTACCGGTTTGACTGGCCCATCGATCATGATACCGCAGCAATACCACCCATTAAACCGACAGTCGACGTTTCTTCAAGGACGAGGTTGAAATTGATTCCTTACGGCGCGGCGAAATTACACATCGCCCAGTTTCCTGTGGTGGATTTGGCAGCAAACACTTTGATATCATGAGGACGGATCAATCAAATGTGAAGATAGCGATCCGTAGCATCACAGCAGTGAGGAAGAAAATGGAACCATTTAGGATGAAGCGCAGGCTGGAAGCATCGATCCAGGACCTGCCCCCCCCCCGGGCGGGAGGGGGGGGCTTATTTATTGTCACTTATGCGATAATATTCTAGAGCAGGCATCTATAGCTCAACTGAGGTATTCTCCCGCAGCATCAATATCACCGCACCTCTTTGTTTTTAACATCGTTTTTCACATTGGAACATGCCCAGTGAGGTATCTCGGGCGTCCATGTGGTGGCAGCTGTAGCCAATGTAGGTAGCTTTACTCCGGGAGCCTCGCTCAGCTAGGACGCCATAGCGCAGATTATAGCAAGATACCAGTAGTAATACACAGACTGCCTGAGATGACGAGGGTCCTGGGGCCATATTTGTCGAATTTGGAGCCGATATAAACATCGCTGAAAAAAAAAAAAAAAAAAAAAGGACCAGGAATGTATATCATGAACTCGTTCCTGTAATTCGGTGTGGTTGGTATGGTCCGTGTGTCAAAATTCCAATGATGAGGGGGTGGCCGCTAAAAGCCATTTTTGAGCTCGACAGTAACCAGGTGGCCGTCATGTAGGAGTGGTGTACTAGGAACATGCATGGAGAGGATATAAGAGTTTCCAGAACAACAAAGAAACACTGGGGCAACGGTGTGGCCGGTAGCCGGATGCGCATGATAGCAAGGCGCCATTATTATCGGACCTCGCGATTCAGTACAAAAGTGATTGGTGAAAGCTGCCACTAGCAGCAGACTCATCAAAGGGGTCGAGGCCGCGGTGACGACATCTGAGAAGACTATTGCTTGATTATATGACCTGAAAAAGCAAGGACTCAACGTGAATATCGCCTGTTGTGGACATAGTGCCATGCTACCCCAATGAGGCGAAAGTATAGTCCATATTTCTCCATTTCTGGAAAGATGGAGGTGGGGCATCACGGCTTTACAAATTTACGCCAGTCCCCCTCTAAGGTGGCTTGAGCCTGATTTGCTATAGAATCTTCTCTTGGCCAAGGAAAGAATTCCACTCTCACTGTGCCGAAATACAGTGTAAAATGCCACAAGAATCGACGATCCACTAAATAAAATGAATATAAAGAAAAATGAAGAAGAAAATTCTGAATGCGGGTTTCTTCTTTGCAAGTAGAATAATTGTCGAGCATTCTAATTGGTTAAATTATCATCTTCTCAAAAAGCTCATCAGCTCACAAAGATGAGGAAATCAGGATGTTGCACCTTTGGCCTTGTTGGCATATGCCTGGCACAGCAAAAGAACTTTTCAGTTGACCGTAATGCGCCACCTGGCAACTTGTCAACTCTTCCAAACGGTACCCTTTTCGAAGCATGGCGACCTCGAGCACACATATTGCCTCCTTTCGGACAAATCGGCGACCCCTGTGGACACTACGTGGACACAAAGGACGGTTTTTTGCATTTTGGCTTCCTGCACGATGGGAATGGCGCAGCGGGCGTCACTACAGACGACCTGGTTCACTACAAGGATGTCAATCCCCAAGGACGCCAATTTATCTTTCCCGGAGGGGTCAACGATCCAGTAGCCGTCTTTGACGGCACCGTTATAAATCAAGGTGTTAATGGTGAGCCCACTTTCCTTTATACCTCGATTTCCTACCTGCCCATCCAATGGACTATTGCGTATACTCGCGGCAGCGAGACAATGTCCCTGGCCGTATCGGTCGATGGAGGACGGAATTTTACCAAGCTCGACCAAGGGCCTGTCATATCCGACCCTCCCTTTGCGGTGAACGTAACCGGCTTCAGAGATCCCTTTGCATTACAGAATGCTCAGCTCGACGAACTTTTGGGCAGCCCTGCTCGAACCTGGTACCTTGTGATTGCTGGTGGCGTGCACGATTCGGGACCCAGTCAATTCCTATACCGTCAGAACGACACTGAATTCCAGTTCTGGGAGGAACTCGGACAGTGGTGGCATGAACCAGCCAATTCTACTTGGGGCGAGGGTCTGTGGGCCGGTCGATGGGGGTTCAACTTCGAGGCCTCGACCATATTCGGCCTCGATGAAAGTGGATTCAATGAGAACGGCACAATCTTCACGACCGTGGGCGCGGAATGGTCTTTGGACCCAATCGTACCGCAAGTATCTGATTTCAGAGATTCACTGTGGGCCGCTGGAACGGTTGAGCTTTCGGACGGCGATATCAGGTTTAATCCCAGCTTCGCAGGAGTTCTAGATTGGGGGGCCTCGGCATATGCCTCTCACGGCCAGCATCTGCCTGCTTGGTCAAAGGCATCCCAGAAGAGTGGTGCACCTGATCGCTATATCACGACTATCTGGCTGACGGGCGATTTCTACGACACTACGGATCCGGCTTCCAACCAGCAAAACTGGACAGGCACATTGCTGCTTCCTCGCGAATTGAGTGTCGGCAGGGTGGAAAATGTCGTCAACAACGAGCTCGTGAAAGAGATTGGATCATGGAAGTCACAGGGATATTCTGACTTGGTTGAAGTGATGACTTTGAAGCAGGTTGTTGTCCGAGAAGTAATGGCTGCTATTTCGAACTGCTCTTCCTCCACCGAGCCGTCTCGTTCTTTCAATGTCTCTACACGCGAGGCATTTCAACAGTCTCCCAAGACAAAACTTTTCGTTCTCAAGGCATCCCTGTCTTTCCCCAGTTCGGCACGTGGGACAGGCTTGAAAGCTGGTTTTCAGATCCTAGCTTCTGACGTCGAAGCAACATCCATCTACTATCAATTTTCGAACGAATCCATCATCATCGATCGAACCAACACCAGTGCCGCGTCTGCATTAAACCCTGGCATTATTTCGCAAACAGAAGCCGGTCGATTACGCCTATTTGATAGGAAAAGTGGAGACCAGCAGAAAATCGAAGTGCTTGACCTGATGATTGTGGTGGACAATTCCGTAGTAGAGGTTCATGCCAATGACCGATTCGTAGTCAGCACCTGGGCAAGGTACGTCTTATTTGTGATACTGTATCCTTGATACTAGACTAACTCATTCCAGGTCGTGGTATTCAAACTCAACCGAGCTTCGCTTCTTTTATGATGGCCAGGAGACTGTTGAGTTCGAGAATATCACTATTTTTGATGGCCTCTATGATGCGTACCCTGACAGGGCTTGATTTGTTTAAAAGGACAAATCTGAGGCACAACAATACAAAAGAACCTTCGGCAAGATCATAATGTCTATTGTACAACTATGACGAAGCCCCCTAACCATAATACATTCGTTGGAAAAGGGGAAGGCAGCCAAAAAGCAATGAGAAAATTAAGCTGATATGTAGACAATGATCGCCTGTTCACAAAATCCAGCACCCCCTCCACACACACCTCTCTCCCAAAACCCCCGGCAACCGCTAATCTCATGCAAGATGAGAGGTAAAAATAGTTTTGGTCGCTGCAGCTAGACCTTCTCTTCAGCATCAATATGACTACATCGTCTTTTCTGGAACCGTCTCCACGCCGGGTCGTGCCCAGTGGGTAATGTACCTTCAAGGATCGGTTAGCGTGGATTAGATACGCCACCACACCGTATGTAGACTCGCAGCACGCCTTTTTCCGATTGCTACACACAGTGCATCGGATGGCGATTTTTCGTATATTTACGGGTAGTTTTCTTATACTTTATCGATTGAATAACAACATCTTTGATTCGAAAGTGTAATAACTATCTGTCTACAAATATCATCTTTTTGACATCAGGCTCGAGCGGCCATAGACCGCAGTTCCCCCTCCCTTACTCTCACTTCCTTTCCCCAGCCTGCATCAGTCTGCCCTGCCTCTTCATGCGGAAAAGCGGAGTAAATAGCAACCGAAGATTGCTGCCTGAATGATAACCTACTAACACAGCCACGCGTATCAGTAAAGAAAAACGTTAGAAACCCATTTTCGGAAAATGTTTTTCTTTTGACAAATATAGAGACAGCAAACTGCTCTGATATCTATGACTCAATATTCGTATGAGCTGAATTGGTCTGCCATACCCTTGGAACATTACCTCGTCTACTATGCTGTGTGAAAATTGCCAGCAGTCAGCCTTGAGCGATGATTCGTCAGCCTTTCGGGTTGAGACTGACGAGTTCGGTCACAGTAGCGCAGTGACAGACGAAGACTCAATAATACCAACCGACTATTTCCTTCTGGATCACTTCCCTGAGCTCCCCAAACTGCGCGAATCAGGCCACGGCGGATGTGAATTTTGCTCATTTATACGAGAAAGCATACTATCTAGCGACAATGTCAGCCGCCTCCAGGATCCTTACGGAGTTCGAATCACAAGCCTTAGTGAAGAGGAGGTAACATTGCGAGTCCGCTATCTCTGGAATTATACAATCGCGGACACAGATATCAAGAGGCATTTCCTACAAGTAATCGTTAAATTTGTCAATATCGATATTGGATTTGGCATATTCTGTAGGATTAGAGCTGCAGAGAGTACGGCTGATGTCCTGTTTACTTGGTATCCCATTGCTAATATGCTTAATTCCAGAGGGTGATCCTGTCGCACAATGGTTGCGTCTTGATGATTCGTCGACCCAAGCCTTCACCGGTGCAAAGACTATCGGATGGATCAAGGAACGCATCCATGAGTGTACAAAGCATAATCATGAGCTACCATCTCCCGAATTCATCCCCAGCCTTCTGCTTGACGTTCGCGGGAAGTCCCCGAAACTTACGGATCATGATACTTTGATTTCCAGTCGTAAGACCCTTGGGCAGCTCAAGGTTCAGACTCCACGATATACTGCTTTGAGTTACTGCTGGGGCACGGCCGAGGATGCCAAGGTACAATTAAAGACAACAAAATCCTCCTTTTCAAAACGCCAAGCCGGTATCGAACCCCATGAGATCACTCCTGTGTTGCAAGATGCAATAATCATCACAAAGCAACTATCAATTCCTTACTTGTGGATTGATTGTCTCTGCATCTTTCAGGATGACATAACGGACTGGGATCGGCAGTGCGCTGAAATGGACAAGATCTATGGCCATGCGGAGATCACGATCGTCGCTGCATCTTCGACTTCTTGTCGGGAGGGCTTCATACAACGAAGAGTTCCTCGAATCAAACTCCCTTTTTATTCTACTCTCAACCGAATACTTCACGGTTCAATGTGGATAGAATTAGGATTTGCTGGAGAAAATCTGAATTTACCTCTATCGGATATCTATTTGGATGCTGCGGCGAGTCGACTCGCGACAAGGGGCTGGACTGTCCAAGAGAGGCTTTTATCTACACGCCAAATTGTGTTCGGAAAATTCAACGCGCATTTCATTTGCCCTTGGGGATATCAGTCAAATGGTGGCCCCCTAACTGTGGGGAAATGGTTGAACAGCATTCATTCTGCAAGGACAACAAGCGACGTACAAGAACTGTTCCGTGCGTGGTCCCGCGTCTTGATAGAATACCGAGATATAGGTGAGGATTCGTTCACTCATGCTACAGATCTTTTGCCCTCTCTATCTGGCATGGCTGCCGATTTTGCGAAACGACTAAAGGACGACTACTTTGCCGGCCACTGGGGGAACGACCTCATCATGGGTTTAATGTGGTCGTCGGATAGTGGTTTCAAAATCTCAAAGTCTGTCCATCTCGGCCGTGTTTGCGCACCACTTCAATATGTGGTTCCGTCGTGGAGTCAGTTGTTCCACTCAGGTCTGACAAATCCCCCCGATGCAAATTCACTGTTGCAGTTGTTCTACCCCGCAGTGGAATGCATTGAGGCACGCACATCAATAAGTGGAAGCAATGTATTTGGAACTATCAAGAACGGTGAGCTCCGGGTGCGTGGCCACACTCTGAGTCCACAGGCCACGAGCGTGATCCAGTTCAAGTCGGCGGAACCACTCTTCCCACCGCGGAGTGGCCAAGGAAATGAATGGCGTTTTAGGTTTGAGCGATCCGACGGCGAGAGCCTCTTTTGCGATGTCCGCCTCGACTTTTCTTTGCCAATTATTGAGATCCACGAGGAAGTCAAGCTGTGGAAGTGGATTTTACTTGGAACATGCAAGCTGGGTCCATTCGGCAAGTCGAGGCGGCTGGAAAAGACAGGAGAAGATATGCACCCATTTGGTCTTCTTGTCCATAGCTGCAGGCGCTCAGAATGGTGCAGGATTGGGGTGTTTGTGCCTGCTTGGGGTAGCTTCCAAGGCTCGCAGCTTTCACTCCAAACTTTCCAGATGGCAAGTACTTTGGAAGACATCACTATCATTTAATGATACGACCAGTATCTGAAATAAAGAGTAAAATTAAAGATGGTCTACATCTACGAAAATAATGTGTAAACAAACAGACTTAATCAACCCTTCCCGTTGTGTCACCCTTAGGGTGCCACACATCCAGCCACACTGTGGCGCATCATTCAATTAATAATTATATGGACTGTCACTTGTTTCGCTTCAGATGCGATGATCAGCAGTTGTGATGGGATTAGAAGGTTGTGTTTTTCATGGTCCAGCTAAATGGGCAGGAAAACGATTTTGTATTTAAAAGAAAAACTTATGCATAAGATAGTATAGAAAGGATGGATTTGCTATATAAGTTTATATAACCGAAAACTTCCTAATTCGCATTAATGGTTTAGTAATATAAACCTTTAATATTAAAAAAATCCTATTGCTACTCTAAATTTCGTTTAGAATAAGCGCAAATAATATATAAGAGTACCTAAAAAATTAGCATATAAATTAAAGCGTCACTTAAGGGTACCTGCGGTTTTTAAATAAATATTAACGGCCGATAACACAAAATGCGAATATAAATGCTAACCGCAGGTTTTACCCTATAATTTATTAATCGACGATTAGTTAAAATAAGATAATTTTGTCGATTATTATTTCGTATTTATGCTAAATATATAATAAAAGTTATTGCTTAATTTACTAATTCCGCATATTATTAATGTCAAGGCTTAGATACCAAGGTATAATCCTGTTATGGCTTAGATACCAAGGTATAATCCCTAGTATATCGGGACTTATTTACTTAAATATTACGAGCTTTCCGCTTAACTTTTTGGGATCTAAGTTTTAACTTTATATTTTATTTACCTTTATATATATAATATTATATTATACCTAATTACTTATTAATCCGATTATCGTAATAATTTTAAAACTTTTTTTATAATTATTTATAATATAATAATTATTATATCCACCCTCCGTAATAATAAAGGCAAAGCTATTATTACTATACCTGCTATTATTAGAATTACGGGACGTTATCGTACCCGATTTTAATAATCCGAAAATAAAAATATCCTTTAGCAAAAGCTTTAACGGAGCGCTAATAATTTTATCGCGGGGCCTTTACGGAACCTTTTAAATCCCTTAAAAGATTCCTAAGCTTTTTCCTTAATAAATAAAAAGCAAGCGGAATAAAAGCGGATTATTTTCGATAAAACCCTAATTCGTTAAGCACGGTATAATATTTATATTAAATAAAAATTTTTAAAGCGAAGATATAAAAAAAAAAATTAGCAAAAAATAAAAAAAAAAGTTTATTAAATTCGAATAATAAATTCGGGGGCTAATAAATTTAAAGGCTTTAATAATTTAATTTAGCAATTTACCGGCTTTTTTTTATTATTCGTAGTTAATATTTTATTTTTATTTTAAATTATAAAGGGTTAAAGCAAAATTTGCTATTATATCCGCACTAATCCTTTTTAAATAATAATTTAAGCTATTATAATATAATTTTTAAAGGGTTTAGGATTAAATCCGGGGCAAATATTAATAAGCTTATTAGATTTAAATATAATAAATTTTTTATTAGCTTTAGCTATATAAAATAAAAAGATTAAATAAATACTTACGAAAAAATTTTTATAACTAATAAAAAAAATTTAAAAACGATTATATTAAAATAATATTTAGGCGGAATAAACTAATTAATTTTATAAAAACTATATTCCGGAACCGATACGCGATAATAACCGGATATAATCGATATTAATTATAAAATAATTAGGCTAAATTTTTAAAATAAACCCGAACGATTATTAAAAATTCCGGGTATTATAAAGCTATTATAAATAATTTATTAAAATAGGCAGTTTAGCGGTTTAAATAAAATTTTTAAAAATTTAATTTTTATTTAGTTTTTTTAAAAAAATAATTATTATCTAAAATTAAACCGGCTAAAGCTCGATTATTTTATCGGAAGCTATTTTTATAGCTATAAAAATAGCTAAATAAATTTAATATTATTTTTTCTTAATTTAAAATTAATATAATAAATAAGGCTATTTTATACTAAAAATTAATAATAAATAAAAAAAATAATTATTATAAAATTAATAAACGAAACGGAACCGAAAAAAAGATAATTTTTTAAATTTTAATAAAAAGCAAAAAAATAATTAAGCTAATAATAACGATTATACCCGAATAAATTCCTAATAGCAGGATTAATCGAATTAAAATATAAAAAGGCAAAATCGTCGAAATAAAAGACGTAACCGTTATAAATTTAACGGAAATCGACCCCGGAACCTTAAAAAAAATAGGAACCTACCTATAAATAAATATATTTCGCTAATTTATTATAATTATTATAAGCTAAAATATATTACTTTTAATTATTTAATAAAACGGATTAATAACCTAAAAATATTTATTTTACCGCTTATAACGGGAAATACGCGTAAGCCGTAGCTAAAGCAAGGCTAGCTAGGGCTTTTAATATATTTATTAAAATATTTATACGGTTTTATACCCGATATATTATTTAGTTTCTTATTATTAACGTTATTATTTACGTAAATTTAAATACTTATTTTAAAATTAACCTAATTAATTATATATTTATATTAAAGCAAAAATTATAAAAAATATTAAAAAAAGCAATATTTTTAATTGCGGTTAGCAATTTAATAATCCCGTAATATAGCGTTTATTAAGTTAATTTAGAATTATTTAATAATCGGGGGAGTTCCTGTATTTATTCGCTTTTTTGTATTATTATTAATCGAAATTTTTATTTAAAAGGTAATCCTATTTTATTATTACGTGAATTTTTAAACTATAAGCAAATTACTTTTATTTTATATAAAAATGCGTAATATTACGGAATAACGGCTAATCGATTAAAATTATTAATTATTTTTTAGTTTTAAAAAATATGCAAAAATTATATTAATTATTTTGCAATAATTATTTCATAAAAAGCAATTTAGAAAAAAAAAAGCAAATAATATATTAAAAGCTTTATAAAAGCTAATTACGATCGAAGATTTTCCGAAATATTTGCGAAATTATATTAATTTTTTTATAATTAAAAACTTAAATAAGCTCCTTTATAATTAAAAAAGTAATTATTTTATCGATTTATTGCTAAAAATAAAACCTCCGTATTTTTTTATTTATCCGCTTATATATTAAAAGCTATAAAAGCTATAATAATTTTTATAAAAAATATTAATATAAGGGAAAATTCGGCCGTTATAAAATTCGGCAAGGGCACTTATATTATTTATTTTTAAAAAAAATAATATTTTAAAATTATATATAAATTATCGAGGTTTTAATAAAGTAATAATAAAAAATCGTTATATTCTCCCTTTTATTTTGGAATTATTTAATTATATTTTAAATATTTAAATATTTTTAAAATTTAATTTAAAAAATGCCTATTATTAAATTCGGATTAAGCCGGAAAATAAATAAAAAATTATATTTTATATTTATTACGGCTATTTCGAATTTTTAGTTTTTTTAATAAGCTTAACGAATACGCCGGCTATTTTTTAAAGCTATATTTATAATATTTTTAAAAAATTGCTAAATATTTATTATATAGCTTATTTAAATAATATTTTAATTTTTTTTAAAATAAAAAAGCAATATATAAAAAAATTTGCGAAACGTAATCGGAAGGCTTTTAAATACTAAGCTATACGTAAAATTATTTAAATATTAGTTTTTTTAAAAAAATTTAAAATTCCTAAAATATTATATTTCTATTTAAAGGATTTTTATAAACTTTAATCGTATAAATATTATAAAAAATTAGCTAATTCCGGATTTTATTTACGGTATATAAATATTTATAAGCTTTATTAATTTTTACCGCCGCTTTATAAATAAATTCGCAAATTTTATTGCGCTAATTAATAAGTATTTAAAAAATAGCAAACCGGAAAAGAAACCGAAGTATATCGTTTTAAAAAAAGCAGCTTTAAAAGCCTTTAATGCTATTAAAAATGCTTTTTAATATGCGCTTTTATTAATTTATTTCGATTTTAAAAAGCATATACGGTTGGAAATAAACGCTTTTATATTTGCTTTAGGCGGAATTTTATTTTAACTAAATAATAATAATATATAATATTGTGACGGGACATTCACTCCATACACTTATAGTTCTTAAGGGGATTTTTAAATTAGATTAGTTAAGCTCTATAGGAGCTTTTGGATGGGTATATAGATACGACCTACCTTTTATTTTATTTATATAAAATTAGATTATTTTTAATTATTTATTTATACCTATATACCGCTTTTATTAAGTAATATCGAAACCTTAAATTATAAGTTTTTTTAATTATTATAATTATAAGCCCGGTATATACGTAGCTAAGCTATTATTAAATTTTCCGTATATTTATATTATTTAATAGGATATTAGCGGAATTTAATTTTTAAAACCTAATTTTTAAAATTCCGACTAATATTTTAAATTCGATTTTTAAAATTAAAGCATTAGAAACCCTATTTTTTTATAAAAAATATTATTTTACGCAAATTTCGATACCTAAAGCTATACGATTAAAATTAAGTTTATTTATTAAAAAAATTAAATAGCTTAATTTTTATAATATTAGTTTTTTTCGGAATAAAATATTATTTAAAATTATATTAATTTTAAATCGATAAAATTATAATTATAAGCTAAATAACCTTTTTTAATAAAAATTTATAAATTTAAGCTTTAATATTAATTTAAAAACGATTTAATTTAATAGATTTCCGATTAAAATAAGAAAAATTTAAATATTAAAAAAATAAACCTATTTTTTCCGAGCTTTTTCGCTAAAAAAAGCTTTTTAAAAATATTTTTAAAAATTTAAAACCTAAACGTTTAATTTCGAAAAAAAAAACTCGTTATTTAACGGTATATTAATAAGCTTAAAAAATAAATATAAGATTTTATAAATATTAAGCTTTAAATTATTATATTTATAAAAGCTTTAAATTAAAATAACTATATT